AAGATTCTAACCGGCATCTGTCTTAGGCAGAGGAACCATGGCATCTGACTGCTTTTCTTCCTCCCACCATTCAGTTCTGTCTTCCCTGCCTACCTAAGTTCTGCCATATCAAAAGGCCAAGGCAGTTTCTTTATTCATTAACCAATGAAAGCAACACATAAGCAGAAGGACCCTACACCAGAAGGGAGTCTTTATTTTGCTTCACAGTTCCAGGTGACAATCCATCATGGCAGGGAATTCACAGTAGCAAGAGGTGGAGGCAATGAGTCACACTACACCCACATCATAAAATAGAAAGTCCGCTTTTCTGTCCTCCATCTGGTTACTCCATTACCATTAGTCCTGCTGCATCTACCCACAGGAGTCTCTCTTCCCAGTGCACTACCATCTCCTAGGGACTCTGCCTCTTGGTATGAAACTAGGGGGACCCTAGTCTTTTCCTACTACTGCTCCTTTTGGCCCTACCTTAAAGCTCATCTCAATTCTTCTGACACATGTCCACCCACAGAAACTCTCTACCACAGACAATATTTGGCTAAGACCAAGAGTGTGCATCAACAACCCAAAAAGGAACACATATCCAATAAGGACGGAACCAGACAACTACACCAACAAACATTTAAAATGCAAGATGCCTAGATCCCAACAAAAAAAAAAATCACAAACATGAACAACCAAGGCAATATGCATCCCCCAGAAGCCAGCAACCCTAATACAGCCTGAAAAACACAATTTACCTTAAGTACAAATTCTAATTTGCATTTTCCTGATGGCAAAGGATGCTCAATAATTCTGTTTGTCAGGTATTTGTTTCATCTTTTAAAAACTGTTCAGTTCTATACCTTGTACTTAAATTGGGTCATTGGTTACTTTTCTTAACTCTTTATATATTCTAGATATTAACCCTCTGTCAGATGTATATATAATTGGTACAATTTCCCCCACTCACTCACATGACGGTGTCCTTTGCTGTACAGAAACTTATTAGCTTCATGAGGTCCCATTTTTGGTCGTAGTGCCTGTGCTATTTGTGTCTTGCTCAGAAATTCCTTTCCTATGCCAGTAAGTTCAATTTCCTATTTTCCTTGATCAGATTCAGGGTATCTGGTCTTATGTTAAGGTCCTTAATCCATTTGGGATTGAGTTTTATGCAGGATGATAGATATGGATCTATTTGCATTCTTCTACATGCAGCTCACCAGTTTGACCAGGAGCATTAAAAGTGCTGCCTCTTCGATAGTATTTATTATTTTTGCCAAAAATCATGTTCCTGTAGAATTGTCTGGGTGTTCAATTCTATGCACTGATCAACTGGTCTGCTCTATGGCAATACTATACTGTTTTATTTACAACTCTAATACAACTGGAAACCAGTTCATTTATTACTCAGGCTTTAGCTATGCTGAGGGATTTTTGTTTGTTTCCATATGAAGTTGAAGATATTTTTGTAATTCCTGTGAAGAACTGTTAGAATTCATATAGTAACTGAAGATAAGGTGCATACATATACATCTAAAAATTAAATAACTTTAAAAAATTACCTTTGCTTTTCAGAAGGTAAATGTTTAGCATTTACACAGCAATTTCTGGTGCCTTTAAGATAACAATAGGGCTGCTCTCTGGTGTATGTGAGGTTCTCACTGGTCACTGAATTTGGACAAAGAATTCAGTTCTTGCTTAGAAATCTAGAATCACTGGGAAACACCTATTCATTCCTCACAAAAGCTTCACTGGAAAGTGGCCTTATGGATTTTGGAAGATTCAGATGATGTCATATAACTACAGTAACTGATATGAATGGCAGGTCCCTTGAAGAGAAACTCAATTCTGGCAGGGCTACACAGCAGGATGAAAAACAGCAGAGGCTAGGCATGAAGGCATGTCAAGGCCAGTGAAGAAATCATTTTGTATGGTGTACCACTGTCATGAATTGTGATTCATGGCACCATAGGAGATATAAATACTCTAGGGCTCTTTCCACAGGAAATGAACCATTCTGTATATTATTCAGTGATGTAGTCTTACATAGGTGAAGAAAAAAATCTTTTTGTCTGCATCTATGTATGTGCACCATGTACATGCCTGGTGCCCTTGGAGATCAGAAGAGGGTGTCAGATCCCCATGGAACTAGAGTTACGGAGCCACCATGTTGATGCTGGGATTTAACCTAGGTCCTCAGTAAAAGCACTAAGTGCTCGTAACCACTGAGCCATCTCTCTTAGGTTTTTTAGCAAGCAGAAGGCATCTATAATCCAACAAGAAAGAGAAGAAAACATTTTTAAAAGTTATACTAACCAAAACTATATACTAAAAATGTAACAAGGATCTATCAACATGCTACTTCCCATGACTGTATACAGTTACAAATACATACTTTAACATACAGGGAAATTTTGTGAGCAAAGGATCAAAATTCTGTAAAAAACAAAAATAAGATGACTGGGGCTGGAGAGATAGCTCAGAGGTTAAGAGCACTGACTGTTCTTCAGAGGACCCAGGTTCAATTCCTAGCACCTACATGGCAGCTCACAACTGTCTGTAACTCCAGTTCCAGGAGACACAATACCCATGGCAAAACACAAGTGAAAAAAAAATTAAATAAAAAAGTAAAAATAAGATGATCTACAGTGTTTCTAGCTATGGCACTGCACAGTGAAACAGGACACACCAAACACATTTACATTTCCTCAAATCCAGGTTCCCCTCAAAGGCCAACACCTAGTTTCAAGAATTACCAGAAATGGCTTAATCAGAAAGTCCTCCAAAGGAATTAAGAAACCATTCAGACTGAAGGTGAAAGCTTAAAAATAAAATCCACAGAGCAGGATTTCATTTAAGTGAGACTGCAGATAGTGCAAATTCTTCTTTACAGCTAGAGCACTGGTGGTCTAGAGGTGGAGTCTCGAAGGAGACCACTGATGGTGAAGGGCACTGGGGAGCTTCTATGTGTGGTAGACATATTCAGGATGCTGATGGCTGGTTTCCGAAGTGTGTGCATCTGTCAAAACTTAGTAAACTGTACACTTACAAAGAATGCAGTATTTTGTATATATTATGTATGCCTTAAATATAGGACTTCCTACTAGGCAGGACCGAAACCACCACCACCACCACCACCACCACCACCACCACCGAATGACAAAGCACAGGCCATGACGGCTCACTGTCTGTGTGCTGGGCAGGTCTTCTTTCCATCAGCCCAGTTAGCTTTTATTTGTACTCCAATTTTGGGCACTTTGTCTCTCAGGTGAATGAAGAAATTCTAAGTTAGTGAATGCCAACACTGATGCATAAAGTTATGATGTATAAAGTTACAGGGGAACTTTATAGTATAGCAGTCATTCAGAACAGATATTTGGGTTGAGGAGGTGTGGGAATGTTTCCTCTGCTGATCAGTGAGTGGCCAGTCACCACATGAGTGACTCCGCCTAAACAGACGGAGATGGCAGAAAAGTAGATCCAGGAACAAATGCTCACCTTGAGGAGCCCCACCCCTCGGCATCTTACAGAGGATGTTTCTGTTGTAGGGCTGACACGAACATGGAGCTTAGCATTAATAACAGTAACTTACCTTGTCAATAAATACTGAACAAGGAAAATAAAGGATATTAAAAATATGTGCACTTATCTATAAGCTGGCGTGTTACTTGATAAAAGAGTAAAATGCTTACTGTAGCTTAGAAAAAAGCATTACGGGAGTTTGTAATGAGAACAGTCACACTTATATGCTGTACTTCACAAATGAAGGTCCATGACAAAGTAGAGAGGACTTTCTCTTACTTAGTATTTGTGTGTGCCACAGTGTGTGTGCACCACTTGTGTGCAAGAACTCTCAGACACAAGGACTCGGATCCACAGAGGGATGTGGGCCTCTATGTGGGTGCTGGGAATTGAGAGCAAGAAATGCTTTTAACTGCTTAGCCCTCTCTCCAGTCCAGTGACTTGGCCTCTCCATGATTATGGAACTGCAACGCTGAGGATCTTAAGAAACTGGTGTTTCAGGTATTAGTTTGTGTTAGGGAAACACCACTGGAGCAAACCCCACAGCTCAGCTGTTGAGAGAAGCCAGCTGCCATTTCTATATACTAGCCTGAATTAACAGTCTGAATTTTATTAGAAACAAAAATAAACTCAAAAGTCCGTCTTCAGTTACATAATACGCACAAGAGTTTCTGCCTCACGTCATTTCACAAGAAATCTCTGAAGACAGGAGTACAAGTAGAATTTCCTGGTATGTAAAGAGAGGAGTTGGATGTGGAAGACTGCACGTACGTGAGTGCGCGCGCGCACACACACACGAGGAAACAAGTCCAGCTATAATCTCTGGCTGCAGCGGGAGATGGAACTAGGAGCAGGGCAGAAATATGAAGGAAAAGGAGTATCGCTACTTTAAAAAATACTTCAACAAAAAACAGTCGGTCATTTGTATGTAACTTTAAGCAGATCTTTTCAGTATGTAGGGTAACATTCCTAAACTAATTTTTACTCAACCCCAGAATAGTTCTACTGCTGAAGAGGATTTCCCTCTACATTACATAAACTTTGCTTCCTTTCCTGGAGACAAGAAAAGTGTCAGCAGAATATGTGCAGGAACTGTCTGATTCTTGGGCATCATTTGCCACTGGTACCACGGGTAATTTAGCACTTTCTTCCACGTACCTGCTAGAATACTTCTATAAAGAGGCTGTGTATGATGATGCAGATGACAACATTTCTGTTTTGTTTTAGGATGATGTCATAAAACAAATTTCTGGCTACAAATGAGATTACAACCACGGAACACGTAATCTAATGCAAAGTCAAACCTCAGCAAGCACATTTCGAGATACTTTTGGCATGTGTTCATCAGAGACCTTGCCCCTGCAGTGTAGTGACAGATGTACAAACAGGCAGGAATGTCAGGGAGATGTTGCAGTCTTTGTCTCAGTCTACAGCTACTGTGTCTTCTGTCAGTTTTATTTCACTATTTATGCTGAGCTCAACATTAACTTCACCTGACAGAATTTGGGAATGATGACCTTTATTTAAATGAAAGAAGACACGCAGCTCACAGGAGCCTTCTAGTAACAGGCACTGAAGGCACATATTATTATAAACTGTTCCTTACCTTCATTTGATTACAGAAGGGATTCACTATAAAGCTCAGAGAGGAAAAAATAATGGAAAGGAAAGGTTACCTGCTTCAGCGTTTTAAAGAACAATTTTGGTAACTTCTTGTGCTCATCGGAAACAGAGCAGGAATATGATGGACATCTGAGGACCCGGTAATCGTGCTCTTCTTCCAAACTGTTCTCTTTACAAATATGAACACTTAGAAGCAAGACTGATGGCAGTCTTATTTAAAAGACATTTCTGACAACTATCAAAATGTGGTAACATGGACTGAAAAAATAGCGCTTAGGGAACTTTTTTCAATGGCATTTTATTATTTACCTTTAAGTTATTTTGAAGGCTGGTAGTAAACTTATTGTTAACAATATAAATATTTTCTTTTTAAGGGTTGAAATTCTCTTAAAAGTGTGGGAAGGCAGCAGTTATTCCAGATCGGACTTCAGAGAAATCAGTCCTCCAAATATCTACAGAAAATGGGTTTCTTTTCACTTCATCTTCCTTCCTCAGGTCTCCTGATTGATTGGTCTGCTTATTCGCTCTCATAAACAGACATGCCTTTTTAGCTGGGCCAATCACTTACGTTTCCATTATTTTTCAATTTTCTCCAGATATATCATAACACAATTCAAAAATTGTTGTAAGAAGGATCATTTACGACAGACCATGTTCTTTCAATTTCATCTGATACTAATATTGAAAGTCAGAAAGGCTTGTTTCTACACAGAACTGAAAATCCTTAGGGCATAAAAAGAGCACACATTCAGTATCTCATAAACGATGTTCAGTCTAATGAAAATCACTAAACCTGCTTTCGTTAAACACAGCTGCCACCACTTACCTTTAATATCAACAGATGGAACTACATTTAGTACTGATCCAGGATGTGTTGGCATAAAACCCTGTCTCTGAACTCAGCTTAAAGGTCCTGTACTTGTGTAATGTACCCCAGTTATTTATAATACCCTGTCTTTACGTTGGTGCATACCATCTTTTGGAAAAAAGTAGCAGACTTTTGAGATGAGCTCTAAGAAGAAAATCCTTGAGGTTCCATCCTTTACTATAGAGAAGGACGATGCTGGCACACAGTAGCGAGTGCGACACCCCACCTGTCAGCTAGCTCACACCAGGAGCATGCACACAGCCAAGTTCACTGCACGTGCTCTGAGCTGAGAACGCTGGCCTTTCCAAGCCGCAACATGACAGTGGATTGTAGATCCACCATAAGAAGATAAACGACATAACAAATGCACCAAATATAGGCATTTGGCATTCAGAACATGCCAAAAAGCTAACACTCATGAATTGTCATAATGGTTTGTCTTTTCTTTTAAAAAAAAGGTCTTTGCATATTTTAAAATTGAACGGTCCCAGAAGTCATGAAGTGCCTTGTCGTTTCTGCTGTTGGCTTCTGATGACCTCTAGTTGTTTTTTGCATTGCTGGTAATAAGTAGAAAGGCTTTTGTTTTCATCTAAGAGCTTTTTATGTTCCTGTACCAGACGAGATGTGTTTTGCTGGTCCTTTTCATCCTGGTCCAATTCTGCAACTAATTCTTGCCTAAAAACAAATTACACAACAGCATCACACATGATGAGAAAACCCACACTTTTAGCTGATGAAGTTAAGTTAGCTAATGAGAACCTTTGCCACCTAACATTCTGCAGGATAAGTGTACTACTCCAATATGATCCCAGGCCAAAATGGAAATTATTACCACGCCAACCACACTGGAACCACAGTCCTTCCATTATGTACTGAAAGCAGTCAGAAAGGCAGAGAAACCACTGCGATGTTTCAGGAAATATTCATATGGAGGATACTGTTTGGTAGGAAGTGGATTTATATGGTGGATATTGTTTGGTAGGAAGGAGCAAAAAAGGCTCTCTCCAGTTCCAGGAAGACAGAACTGTGTCATAGTCCCTGCTCCACTTTTATAGGCCAATATACTTCAATGCATCTCTATTCGGCAGTCACAGTCCCATTTAACTGCAGCTCCAGTGGCAGTGAGAGACACTATGCCACTTAAAGTTCTTTTCTAGTCTACGACAGCAAGAAGAGTGCAAACATTTTCAGGAGATTCTCGTTCTTACAGGCAGCTGAGCTTCGAGACCCTCTCTTCCGAGGACATGAAGCAAGAAACTGAATGAATAATGAGCTCTTATTGTCAAAGTAGCTTCCTGGTATGACATTTATCATTTAAAGTAAGTATTCAGGCTGATGAGATGGCCACGGGGTAAAAAAGCATGTCACTAAACCTGACACTGAGTTCAGTCTCAGGAACTCACGTGGTGGAAGGAGAGAACAACTCCCCCAGCTGTCCTGTGACCGGTGCCGACACACATGTCGTGACATGTGCACACCCCCTCCCCAATGATAGACTAACTAAACATTTAGAGCAAGCGTTTTGATCAAGGGTCATAGTTTTCACACTCACCTATACCCAACATTTATTTTCATTTACTTAATTTATTTTTATTTTATGTACATCGGTGTTTTATTTTGTACATTGCTGTCAGGTCCCCTGGAAATGGAATTACAGATAGTTGTGATTCTTCATGTGGGTGCTGGGAACTGAACCCAGGTTCTCTAGAAGAGCAGTCAGTGCTCTTAACCACTGAGCCACCAGCTCCCCAACATTTGTATTTTGTTAACAGAGAATTCTTCTTTCACACATGACAAGGCAAGTTATACAGAAATAAATGCAGGCCTCATCCAAACACAAAATGCCAGAAGCTCCACAGCTACGTCTACAGCTTCCAGACCATATTATTCTATTTCCTATTTATGCTATCTTTAGTATACCATCCTAGTTTCATTTAATTATTATATTATTATTATATTATCATATTATTCTATTTCCTATTTATATTATCTTTAGTATACCATCCTAGTTTCATTTAATTATTTTATTATTATTATATATTATCATATTATTCTATTTCCTATTTATGTTATCTTTAGTATACCATCCTAGTTTCATTTAATTATTATATTATTATTATATATTATCATATTATTCTATTTCCTATTTATGCTATCTTTAGTATACCATCCTAGTTTCATTTAATTATTATACTATTTTCCCTTTTGTAAACCTTATTCCTTTACTATTGCATTTATATTATCGTGTGCGTATATGCACACACACGTGCACGCACAAGCATGCCATGGTGTGTGTGTGTGTGTGTGTGTAGGTCAGAAGACAAACTGGGGGAGATTGTTCTCTGCTTTCATCAAGTGGGTTCTGGAGATGGAATTCAAGTTGTCAGGCTTGGCTGCAAGTGCCTCTGCCCACTGAGCCACCTCACTGGCCCTATTCTCCCTTTCTGAAGCAAGTACAGATTGTATCTCACAAATTACTCTAGAAAATAACAATTCTTACTTCAAATCAAATTACGGTAAGAATTCTATTTCCATATACACATTTATTTGTTACGTTTTTTTTTCCTACAACATTTTAGTCATTCTTCACAAGTCTAAAATTTCACAAGGTTCATGCTTGAGAAAAGTGACTACCAATCTCAAACCAAACCAAACCAAACCAAACCAAACCAAACCACCTGTGTGGAAATAAGACAGGAGTCTTTAAAAACAGAAGGGAGGCAGTTTCTATTGCTCTAGAAAAACACAGGTGGCTATAAAATTACCTCTAAAATACTCACAAATAGAAAACACAGTCTACTGTCACAAGTAACCTTGCACTATTATAAATACACCCATGGCATGAATAATAAAAATCCAGAGACAGGTATTAGAGTTCAACCTGAACATCAGAGAAGCAAATCAGCCAAGCCACTAGGAGAGCTCTTACCTCTATGAAATCTCCAGACTGAAAAGAGAGTGAGTTCCTGTCTCATCCCACCTTATATTCCTCTCTAGTGCTGGGGTTAAAAGTGTGCACCGCCACCACTCGGCCTCTATGGCTAACTAGTGTGGCTGCTGGGATTAAAGCTGTGTGGCTAGTTTCGCACTCAGATCTCCGGGCAATTAAAACACAGATAAAATATCACTATAGACACCTGACAAGACTGCAGACGAACGCCCCAGAGACCAAATCTGACCAATGCTAGGAGAATGCATTGCTTTACCTTTGGGCAAGAACCAATAGGCTTCTGTAGTGACAACTCTAAATAGTCTTCTGCTTTGACTCTGATAACATAAACTCGGGTAAGCAACCAGTTTATCTTCCTTAGCGCTAAATGATGCTATCAAAACAGTGAGTTTTCTGCATGAAACTAGCTAAAGGGTGCTTATAGTTTAACATAAATCTAGATGGAAATATCTTTTTTTAAAGAATTGTATTTATTCGTTAACTTTATTTTTTTGAAAAAGGTTTCACTGTGTACCACAGGATGGCCTTGAACTCACAAAGGTGAGTTAACATAGATTTGCTTGCATCCACTTCCTGAGTGCTGAAATTAAAGGCCCAAGTCAGCACACCAGCCTAAAGGTTTATTTTTATTATGCATATGTATATGTGTCTGGGTATGTGCACGATGAGTGCAGTGTCCTCAGAGGCTGGCTGAGCTGGTCACTGTGGTTGGAAGTGAGCTCGTGTCCTCTGCAAGAGCAATGTGCATGCTTTTGCAGCCGTCTCTCTAGTTCTGGAAATAGGTTTAATGACTAATTTCAGGATTCTTGAGACAAAAATTTCTTAAAAGTCTTTAAAATAATGCTGGTACCTCAATATATTTTAAATTCAAAATACTAATAATATGTTTTTAACTTTTTTTTTTTTAAAAAAACTTACTTTCTCTGTAGCAACAATGCGATTTCAGTTTGAACTTTCATATATTCCTGTGCCATTTTACAGTGCTGTTCAAACACTGCCATGGATTCTTTGGAATTTGGGCATGGTGCTAGAGGCTGGAAAGAAAGCAGAAATGTTAAAACATAAAGCTAAGTGTCTACCAAAGATGGCTAAGACAGAGACAGAGTGACATATTTTTATAGCACTAAAGCAATGTAAGCAAAAGTAAGGGCGCTGAGGAGCCCACCAGGTTCCAAAGGACAGTGCTAAAACCCTCGGCCACAGAGGTGAGCTGGGTTAGACTCAGTAAACAAAATGAAACGAAACATATGGACGTGAGAAAGGATCGACAGACTGAAGAGACAGGAGTGTAACTAGAGCGGAGTGAACCAGGGTCACCAGAATGCACTTCATGCATTCATGAACTGCCCAACAACAAATTTATTAAGTGTTAAGCTGTGTCCTGGTAAACTTGGTACTCCATTGTCAGCCAACTTAGAAGGCCTGTGACGAGACCAGGTGAAGCTCTCGATGGCATTTCCTGCTACAGAACTGGAACATACCAAGGCCCTTCTTTTAAAGGGACAGGGCTGTGCTGCCCAGGCAGACCTGCAATTTTCAGTTTTATCTGCCCTCCATGTAGCTGGAACTAAAGGCACACGCTGGGCTCCTGAAATGCTTATAATTCTCACACTCACAATGAAGCACTGACACACTTTACTTACACTTTTGTTCATTAGGAACCTAAGGATGCATCACAAAATGTTTGAAATGGAAATGAGCTCATGAGTTTTATATCTTAATACACTAAAAAAACAAGGAGTGAAAATGCTATAGTTGGCAGTTTCACAAGAGAGACATGGAGCTATTTTAAGACGATTGTCAAGATGAGAACATAAAATATGTCAATCCTAAACCTAAGGAACGTTAAAAAAAAAAACAATAAAAGAAAATAAGAAAGATTTTTGAGACAGGCTCTCTTGTGGTTCAGGCTGACCCCAAACTTACTTTGCAGCTGGAGCAGACCTTGAACCCCTGACCCTCTTGCTCCTGCATCTCACGTGCTGGCATTAGAGGAATGAGCACCATGCCCGGCAAAGCCATTTATTCTACTTTGATTTTGAAGTTGGCTTCAAAGCATAAAAAAAATGGACAGGAACATGTTGTGAATACCATGTACTCTCCGAGGAGGAAGAGCGAAGTGTGCTCCTTTACCTGTAGCTGGTGATCCAGTGTAAGATATGCCATCGGGATGGAGTTATCTGAGCCATTGGTATCTGGAAGCCAAGCATGCATTTTATTTATTAATTCATAAATGTAATTACTCATTTGTTATAACAATAAACAAGGAAGAAACGGGTATGAGATGTTATCCCCTCCAAATATTATTAAATAAAAGTTACTGCTATTGGTAACGAACAGGGTCTGGTTCTGAACACTAAAGGAAAAAGGTGAGGCATGTGGTCACAGCTATTAAAATACAAGCATATTCTACAATTTAAGTTAGATCTAAACTGAATAGGATACTATTCAGTAAACATGACAGGCCCTTGTTTAATTAAGAACAAAAAGACACAAAACATAGCCTTTATACTTTAAAGTTTAAAGCCAGTCCTAACTGATGCTATGTAATTCAAGCCCACATTGTTTTCCTCAGGTTCTGTTCACCAGGAGGCTGGATCAACTGTCCGCACAGTGTACACAAGGAAGGAAAGTGCAACTGTTCTGGGTTCTCCAGATGTTCTTTCCAGCTGACACAGATGCTGCTGTGAACACCCCAGCCTGCCCCTAATGAGACACTAGCAGTGAGAATATATGACATGTACAGACATGTAAAAAAGGCTTTAGAACTCTGGTTCAACACCATGTTCCAAACAGTTCTATCGGTGACTTTAAACCATCAGTCAATCTTATCGAAGTACTCAAATATAGGTCTTGTTTGTTTCAAAGGAGGTAAAACTGCCCTCCCACTTCAAAGACTGGCATAGATTAAAGACAGGTCATGCATGATGGCAGTGGAGACACTGTATGGGATCCAAGGAAAAGCTGAGGAAATGAGATGACCCACTCAGACACTGCTTTCCACAAAATTTGAATGGGATGAAACGATAGCCTCCTGACTAGGAAGAAGAATGAACCATCTTGAAAAGTCTGCTGAATTAAACACTCTGTTCCCATGGCTCTCTCCCTCATCGTGGAACCTCTACACCACACTGCACCAGCAGGCAGTCTCTGACAGGCACTTCAAAATCAAGCAGAATCCACAAGTGTTTCAGAAGCACTGAGCTGGTTCAAACAATTCAACCCTTTCCATGAGTAAAAAATTAAGGTCCTGGCCGGGCGGTGGTGGCGCATGCCTTTAATCCCAGCACTCGGGAGGCAGAGGCAGGCGGATCTCTGTGAGTTCGAGGCCAGCCTGGTCTACAAGAGCTAGTGCCAGGACAGGCTCCAAAGCTACAGAGAAACCCTGTCTCGAAAAACTAAAAAAAAAAAAAAAAAAAAATTAAGGTCCTTTATTGGATTTCATCTTTGTTCTCTAAAACCAAAAAATGGCATTTCACTTTCTCATTTGTACCTACGTTGAAGTTTGAATCCCAGCTTCTAGTTTCTGCTACTAACAACGGTCACAAGGCAGCATGGTTATCACTCAATGAAAGATTGTTTACACTTAGTAATCAAACATGACCTCTTCTTATGAAATATTCCTGTGTTTTTAACACAGCAGATGCTAGTGTTGTCCTTCTCTACAGGCACACTCCCTCAGTGGGGTTTGACTGTGAACGACCCCCACAGGTTCATATATCTAAGAAGTTGCTGCCCAGCTGGAACTGTCTGGGAAGCGTTAGGAGATGTGGCTTTGTTGGAGGAAGTGTGTCACTGAGGGTGAACTATGAGGTTCCAAAAGACTTGTGTTAGACGTGCGCCAGATCCAGTGTTTCTCTCGGCCTTCTATTTGTGGGTCATGATGTGAGTTCTCAGCTGCTGCTCCAGCACCATGGCTGAATACCTGCTGTCATGCTCTCTGCCATGATTGCTGGTCATGGGCTCTAAACCTTGGAAACTAAGCACCCTACAGGATGCCTTGGTCAAGGCTTCTTATATCACAGCAGTAGGAAAGTAACTAAGACATACTTCTTGCGGATGCTTTCTTTGTCTTTCTGGTATGTGACTGAAGAGCGTGAAAGGGTATGGACATCACCAGGGTTGGAGTTGTAACCTGAGGCCCTGATGGTATCTGGGGGCCATGCTGCCACTAGAACTATCTGGAACCGAGTGGTCAGTGCTTCCACCCAGAGCTAGGATAGGATATCAACTGGGCCTAAGCTGCTGTCGAGCGCCATGTCTGAGGACCATGGCTCCATGGCCAGCAGCAGCTGGAGTCTGTTGAAGTCTGTGGCCTGTGTCACCTCAAGGGCACATAGGAACCATGCAACCCTTTGCTGGCCCAGAAAAAACTGGCCTGGACTCTGGCTGGACACTGCAGCAAGAGAGCTGGCCCTGACTCTCATGGAAGCGATGGCCCCACTCCTCACCACAGGTGAGAGTGAACCAACCCTGAGGGCCTGGGCATAGGGGAGCTGACTCCACCCACTTGCCTGAGGTGGGTGACCCCAGTGGCCCAGGTTCACAGCTGGCTGAGGCCTTGGGTTGACCCACCCTAACATATACCCAATCTAGGTCTATGATTCAGAGTGGCACCAGGACATTCCAGAGGAATTCCAGTGAGGATCCAGTCATGATGGTGTGCCAGAAACCAGAGGCCTTGAACCGGATCTGACTCATGCAATAAACATCTGCTACTAAGGCTGACTGGACAGAGGGTAATAGGACACACCGAGGCTCCCAATGCCGCCAGGACAAATGCAGAGGTTCTGGAGGAGCGAAGAGGTTTTTGTTTGTTTTTCCTTTTGTTTGCTTGCTTTGATATTTTTTTAAATTTCTTTTGTGGGGCGTGCTGCATAGTTGAGGGGAGGATATGGAGGTGTTGGGAGGTGAGCAGAATTGGGACGCACAATGTGAAACTCCCAAATAATCAATAAAGAAATTAAATTAAAAACACAAAACAGGGCTGGAGAGATGGTTCAGCGGTGAAAAGCACTGGCTGCTCTTCCAGAGGATCTAGATTCAGTTCTCAGCACCCAAACAGCAGCTCGCAACTGCCTGAAACTCCATTTCCAGTGATTCTGACACTTTCACACCACCACACATAAAATACAGTTAAATAAATTATAAAAGAACTCCCCCCCCCAAAAAAAACCCCCTAGAGGTTGACATTTAGGAAAAACACCAACAAGATGTGTTGACAAAACGGATCTCAAAAAATTACAAGGCTTCTTTACAGAAAAAGAAAAGAAAAAGCTAATCGGGGTGAAGTGGCCTTAATCCCAGCCCTTGTGAGGCAGAGGAGGTGGATCTCTGTGAGTTTGAAGCCAGCCAGATCTATGGAGCAAGTTTTGAGGATGACAAACTGTGAGATCTTGCCCCTCCCACAAAACAACTAACAACCAACCAGTTAAGTGAATATAGTCTATAGAGTGTAGGAAAAATCTTTCTTTGATGGTTGCATGTATGATAGATAGATTAATATTTAGAATATACAAAAGAAAAAAACCAAGAAACCAAGCAACTAACCAATCAAATCAGTACATAAGCTAATAAGTAGAGAGTTCTCAAAAGATGTAACACAAATGGCTAATAAACACATGAGAAAATGGCCTGGTCAAAGCCCAGGGCTGATTAGGTCATAGGTCCAAGAGGGGACCCTAACATTATCTTGCTAAATTAACATGCTGTCAACCAGCCTTCCAAATATTTATGTTTACACCTACAGATTAATGTTGCTTTCAACCTCGGCCAGAGACGCATTACTGGGTCAAGTATTAGAGTCAGTGACCGTGAGTGCTCAGTCCTCAGTGGGACAGCTGTATCAACTGGCCCCAAGGCCCAGGGAACATCTCAGAAGAGGAGTAAAGAATCTAAGAACCAGAGGACTTGAAGGAGTCCTGCGAAATTCTGTCTGGTGGGCAGGACATGAGTATTACATTCATGAACCCAAAGCAGCTGTGGCTACCTACACAGGACCAAGCCAGCCAATGAACCAGCAGGATGGGAAGAAGGCTCATGACTGTTGACTGCTGGGGGAAGGGGAGTCACAAGCATTTTTCTTGGAGGGGTGTGGCTGTTGGTAGGTTGCCCATGCTTGGTGGATGACCCAAACCTATAGGTATTCAGGAAGCATTAATTGGATTCTTTGGGTCATCAAAAGGAAGACATGAAGGGGAACACGTTGGGAAGTAGGATGATACTGGGGGTGGGTATGTTCAAGATACATTGTGTACATGAATGGAACTGTCAAAGAATAAAAGATATTCCCATGGGGGGGGCACTGAAAAAGGTTCAATCTCGCTAGCCACTGGAGGAAAAAAGCAAATTAGAACTTAAGTGCAATCTCATCTGGCAGAACGGTATCCTTATATACCCTGCTGGATGAAATGTAAACTTGTCCAGCCATCATAAAATCAACAGAGGTTCCTCAAAGCACTAAAAGCAGATCTACCACGCAACACAGATATACATACAGTCCTGGGTATTTACCCAAAGGACTTCAGTTCAACACATTCTGGCAATACTTAGACTCCATGTAGGAGAAAGAAAATGTGGTATGTATACACAATAGAGTTTTCAATATGTCCTCTGTAGGAAAGGAGGGCAACTAGAAACAAATTAAACTAGTCTTAGAAAAGTGTTTCCTGTTTTCTCCTTTTATGTCTGTATATGATATGGAAGCTGACGTGAAACTGTCCAGGGGAATAAAGACAACTAGCAGGAAGGAGGATGGGTGAAAAAGACAGGGTATGGGCTACAGAAGTATGTTCAGTATACTTATGTGAAAATGTCCTCATACAACACAGATCATGTACAAGGAATATACACAATGGAAATTAAACACAAAAACTGAGATGGAGTTTGGAAGGAGCTGAGTAGGGGGTGGATAATACATTGTATTCCTATATAAAATACCAAATAATATATACTAAAAAGTAAAAACGAAGATGAAGATGATGATGGTTATTTTTACCATTCTTGGGATTTTAATTACTGAAAAGATCCAGTAGGAAAGGTCATGATATAAAAATAATAGAGTGAAGTACAAGAACACATGTTTCCAAACTGGAAAAGTCAATTTTCAACATATATGTTTAGCATTTGGGAGAAAAATATACACAGGGTAAGGCAGTCAGCCTCTGCACAATATTGCGAAGGGCATTTTAAATGTTGCTACCAAAGAGATTTTATAAACATGAAAATCGAAATAATTACATACATCATGCTTATCTTAGTAAAGAATAGTGAGAAGCTAAGCTGGTCACCTGTGGAATCATCGGGGGTCCATGGATGACTGCGAGCTGGCTTCTCTGAGGTTGGTCCTGAGGTAGTGATCATTCTGACACTAGGGCTGGATGACCTACTGCTCACCTGCAGGAAGGAATGCAGACGGCGAAAGTGTCATTGTTTTTTTTTTTTTTTTTAAGAATTGACAAGACACATTTTCATTTCTAGTAAAATGCAAAATATTTCCATTTTTACTAGTCGAGGCCCTGAGATTCTTGAAAATAGAATTCTAAGTATATAATTAATACATTTCAAATTCTCAAATCAATGTATGTTGAATACGTACAAGACATCTCTTCAACACTTATAAGCTTAGATGAGATAAATAGAAAAATAAAGCCCGCAGAGCAACAGGGAACTGGGGAGTGCTCAGGCTGCCACTGTGAGGACTGCATCCTAGAGCCCTGGATTGTCTGCTGTGTTGAGAGCAACCAGTGATGAGGCCTAGGAAGGAACCAGGAGTCCTTGTAGGACGAGAGGGCATAGAGAAAGCCCTGTTTGAAGCTGAGGCCCAGGGAATGCTTTGCTCTCTGGGAAAGAGAAAACTAGCAAAAAATAAAAAAATCTCCTGACAAAAGCAGGCGGCAAGCCTAGCACAGTAGTAGACACCTGTGATTAGCACTTGAAGGCAGAGGCAGGAGGATCATGAAAATCCCTTCTTCAGTGACTCTACATGAAGGGAGGAGGAGTGCCCACTGTCCATCCAGAAACCATGTCCAGAATCAATGGAGGACGGACTCAAGCAGGTATGAGGAGACAAACCCATACACCAAGTTCAACATTGTCTTATACAGTCAAATTCCAGAGAACAGGCAAACAGAAAATAGAAGTGGCCTCCAGAGGCAGAAGGCTGCTATTTCCTCACTAGCAGCTTCCCTAACTTCACAGACCTGAAATTAGAAATGCTCTAAAACCTGTAACTGAGTGCTCACAAGATGCCACAAGTAGAAACACTGCACTTATCCAATAGCTCACGTGACAGGCTACCGTCCAAACATAGCTACACTGAAACCATTATATACAAGACCTGCAGGCTATCTATGCATATTGTACAGGAAGACAAAGGGATGACAAATTCAGACCCGGGCCTCATCACCAAGAGGCCCCATCAGATACATCCAAGTACTTCAAAATCTGAAAAGAAAGCTCCCAATTGGAAACACAACTGGTTTCATGCATTTCAGAAGAAATATTCAAAACACATTTACAAAATATGAGCTACAGCCACAAAGAAAGCCACAGAAGCGGATTTCTAGCTATAGAGTGCTGGCAGAAAACTAACAGCTCAGAATAAATGAAGAATGTGATCAGAACAGCACCTGCAGATATAAAAACTGAATTTACCATCCAGACTCTCATGATAGGAATTTTTAAGTAGGAACTCTACTTAACAAAAAGTTTTTCCTTGACAAAAGGGCCAGGATGCAATTAATTGGAAGGAAATTCTGATAGAAAAGGGTGCTTACTAGTCTACATAATTGAAAACTGTAAGTGAAGGAAAAAGTAATTAATTTACTAAAGTACCAAACAATATAGCAAAATAATCTACAAAATAATAAAACCCGATAAGCAAGACTCTTGCTGTTAAAACGCCTGTGCTGTTCAGAAAGAGCAGATGTATTCAGCAGGCTGGGTATACATGTTAAGATCTCAAAGGTACTCAGTACAACTAGTAAGATCTGTCTTTACCCACAAAGACAGATGTGAGAAGAAACGAGGAATGCACCCATTCAAGTTCAAAGATGGCAAGAAGACAAGGCAGGAGTCTCAAGTAGGATGAAGCAAACTTACCACTAAAAGTAACAAATACAAACTACAACAGTAAAGCTCAGAATGACAACAAGACACACCCTAAACACAGGGCTGGAAAGACTGGGGTTACTTTCAGAGTTCGGATCAGAGGCCCGACAGAGGCCACAATTCCACCCCAGGTGATCTGATGTCCTACTGTGGCCTTTTTGGGGACCGATACATGCAGCATGCATTTGTATGCACACATACACAGACACACGCATAAGCGAGAAAAAAAAAAAAAACAAAGCCCCAATCAAATTGTTAGGATGAATGAAATGTGAGACAAATCTAATTTCCTGGAAGGATGACTCAGTGGTTAAGAGCACTTACTGCTCTTCTGAGTACCCTACACCAGAGGGCCCACTCGTGCCTAGAGCTCCAGCTCCAGGACACCCACACCTCTTGCCTCTTCAGGCACCTGCATTCTCAGTACATTCATACTTCCCATTAAAAACTAATGAAAATAAAAAATTTGAAAAATTAAAAAAATACTAAGTTAAATAGAAAACACAAACCAGATAAGAAGCACTCAAAAGTATCTACATTAATATTAGAGAATATATTTTTGGCCTAAACAAATTAAGAAGAAGCAATAATGTAAAGTGTTCTAAGGCAGAGAAACTCTTGGGGACCTAAGAATGAAGACTAATCCCTTATCCTGAAATCCAGCCATAGCCTCTCACCAGCAGAGAAACACACATTCAAACACAACTAGCAACGTAAGGCCCCTCTCTCTACCCTGCCACAAATCTGCAATTTCCTAGGAATTTCACCTGAAACCCCAGTAAAAAGACAAGCAATCAATCTACACACCAGGGGCTTGGGATTCATGTTTTAAGATTCTTCTTTCCTAGCCTGGTGTGCAGAGTGAGTTCCAGGATAGGTTCCAGAACTACAGAGAAACCCTGTCTCAAAAAAAAAAAAAAAAAAAAAAAAAATCAACCAACCAACAAAAAGTAAAAACCGAAACCAAACAAAAAGATTCTAATCTCATCTGTGGCACCTCTATATCTACCCTATAATCTTATCCAAAGAGAAAAGGAAAAACAGAGGATTCTTAGCAACCATGAGATGTGACTTGAGGAAACAAATGGTATACAGGGTTAATGCTAAGACAACTGTGCCTCTCCCTGGAGAAACCAATGTCCACACCAGACGATATCTTACTCTGGAATTCGAGATGTACTCAGGCTATCTTTCTTCCGAGAGCTTCTCATTCTCTTAACCCTATGTTTAAGACTAAATTAAAGACATCTTAAAATCTCCAACACTATTACATTAGCTAGTCCTAAAATGTTGCCAGCATCAAAACTACAAATCCCAGTTTGCCCCCAAGCTGATGTCCCCAAAGCCTAGAGAAATTAATTCTTCAGAAGCTGAGGGTGGCAGTGTTGGATCTGTGTCTCTGTCCACTCAGAGTTTGAGCTTCTGCTCTGCCATGAGTACCACAGCTTTAAATACGTTCCAGTACAATAGTCAAATGAGGGTAGGCTAAGGGTCTTGACAAAAGAACAACGCTCATCAAGTGGGGCCTGTGAGCAAGTAGGAAACACAGGATGAGACCATGCAGCAGTGCACAGCACTAACAAGCCCTTCCTAGTTCAAAACCATGTCTATAAGACATCTAACTGATTAGGAGCTAATATTAGAATTAGAATTTTGGTTATATTTATAGTCAGTTTCTACATAAACTTGGGCTTTATATTATTACCAAAGATTCCTCAACAACTTAACTTCAAGGACAGAAGAAAAAAATAGTATAGAAAATCTAAAGTTCTCAAAAAACATTACTTGAACATTTTAGAGTATCTGAAACACATACAAAGCAAAAATAAGAATATTACGTATCATCTGACATTACAAAATTATTCTGTGGCTAACCTACATTACAGCTCATAATCATGGAAAACACTGCATTACACAATCTGCTCTTTAAATCTTGCTTGTCCAATTCTGATGGCCCTAAATGCTCTCCACCTATTACAGTTCACTCGGGTTGCTTCTTCCTGAGACAAGCCCAGTTTACCCTCTTCTCACATGAACTAAAGTACAGAGATGCAGGGCAACAATGGACAGAAACGCCATATGGCAGCTTGGGGCAGCAAAAGAATGTAAGCTGAATGAATGTACACTCCAGGGGTGAACTGCCAGCATGAGACATGGGCCATAGCTGCCTTTCTGTAACCGGAATCTTATCTCTGTATTTATGAAAGGGCATTCTACAGATAAAAACAAATCTTAAGCTTTTAGGTCTCATCGGGCAGACAGGAAAATAATTCCATTAAGTCAAGCACTTCCATGTTTGATGCTATCAGACTCATCAGAAAGTCCTTCACACCTTTTAGAACCTTAGTGCCCACAGTCACAGTCACAGCGTCACAGACAGACCCAGCGCTGTATGTGTCGTGACTCTAAAGCACAGATGTGTTAGCGTGCACTTAGAGAGGCACTTCCTCCCTCTAGGGCAGTCCCAGGGACTCAGAACAGTCACTGAAATGCTCTCAAATCCAAATGCATACAATTTCAGACTGCAACTTGCGCCATTTACAGCCTTTTGTTTAGTGAGACAGCATCCTACATAGTACACAGTAGCCTTAACTCACAAGGACATCAGAAGCTTTCATCCATTGCCCCGACCCCTTTTCCCTTGACACAGAAAGAATAGAATGCAAGATTCAATGATTTCCCAGTGCTAATTTTCATTTCATAGCTGGATAGCAAGAATATTAAGAGGAGGACAAAGCAGTATTACCAAGAGCTCTGTATGGAGGAAGGCCTGTAACACAGACCAGCATCTACTGTGGTCTGCACTCTTACATTCCATAGGAACCCCAGACAGTGGTGTGACAGTGTCTAGTAGCACAAGAATGCTGAAGCTCAGGACAACTAAGGAGCATGCTGGGTTCATATCGTGTCTAATTCTCTAGATAATGGTAACTGCATTATTGTGGAATGGTAGGTATATAGTGGATGGCGCCCCAAAAGGAATATGTAGATCTAATTTACAGTACATCATTTTAGTATGGAGAGGCAGTTCAGTTGGTAGTATTTGCCTAGCACACAGAAAGTCCTGGGTTTGATTCCCAAAACCACGTAGACAGGAGGCAGTAGTTGACACCCATAAGCTAAGCACCTGGGAGGTAGAGGCAGGAGGGTCAGGAGGATCAGCATGTCAAAGCCATCCTTTGCCATGTATTTGAAGCCACTCAGGGATATATTAGACCTTCCCTGCAAGTCTGGGGGCAGAAAAGGCTCCACTAAGACTGGGCATTATTCGTACCGCCAGTCTCCAGTCAATGACTGCCAGGAACACATTGGTAGAATAAAGTTGAGTTTATTGTGGTGATGAAGGTTCTCTATGGGGCACCAGAGAATATCTCTTTAAGAATGCTCTAGAAAGAAACTCACAGAACTGAGACTTTGTGTTTGGTTGATTTGGGGGAGGACAGAGAGGTTCTCTGTCACATGGCTGCTGCCAACAGGGGCAGTTCTACAGGGAGGCAGACAGACAGGAGAGAGCTGCACTTGGTAAAGCTACTATAGCCATTCTCATTTGTATGGAAGGACAATGCTTTTTTGTGTTTGGGGTGGCAGTGACCCTCATACATTGAAGTGGATTTGCTTTGTCTTATTTTCCCAGGGTCTGAGAACAATCTTTTTTGGATATAGCTAGTAAACGGTTGCTTTTTTTCTTTCCCAAAGACACTAGGAGGCCAGGTACATTTTGAGTGCTTCCTAAGCTTCCCAAGTTAACTGTAAACCACGTACACTGCAAGTAGAAATGGAAGCACCCCCCCCCAAAGTCTTGCATTTTAATTTATAGGAGAAAAGTAATTTCAGTGAAATGATTTTTTCAAGTCACAAGCCCAAGTACACACAACTGAGAGGTTCACTTTTTTCTGTGAGATGCAACGCTAAGCTTCACCAGCACACTCTTCCTTCTCATAACAGTCGTACTATATGGGCCTGTACTACATCAGGCTCTTACCAATTTCAGTGTTCAGAAACAAACCTCAAAATAAAAATAAAAGCAGAAGCGCCCCACCCCCACCTACCAATGATTCAACGAATTGGAAAAGAAGCACACTGTCAAGTTCTGGAACTCCAAGCTGTGGGCACGCTCCCTCCCACATAATGAGTGCTGTTTTCATGAGTAATTACATGGATTCCACCCAATGGTCATGTAGACACTTTCCTGGTGTGAAATGCATTCATAGTACAGTATAATTATTCTCCGTCACTCTCATTGCAAAGTGAACACAAGGCACTGTAAGGTTGTAATACTTTGGTAATTTGTAATTCATAAGAACCAATACACTGGGGAAAAAAATCACTACTGAATGAGTGAGAAAAGGTTTAAATTAATAATGACTCTAAATAAGTAACAACGCATATGTATTTCTATATTTTAAGACTTTATGTATACATATATATTGTGTGTGCAGTATAAGTTGTCATAAAATATTACCAGATTTAAATAAAGTCAAAGATATTAATCACTTTATCAGTTTTTTTTTCTTTTATTTTTGAGACAGGGTTGCTCTTTGTAGTACTGACTGTCCTGGAACTCACTATATAGACCAGGGTGGCTTCAAATGCAAAGACATTCACCTTCCTCTGCCTCTCAGGTACTGGGATTAAAGGTGTTTAACACAATGCCTGGACTATCAAGATATTTTTAAGTTAAACAGAGAGCTAGAAAACAATCTAACTTTTATTAGAAACACAAAAGTATTAATTTTTATAAAACTGAAATAATAAAAGTATTAATGTCTATTTCTTCAAAGTAAGTTACACTGATACTTTCCATGTATACATGAACCATTATGCAGTAATTTTATTACTTCATATGAATACTATACTCATATGAAAACAAAACAAAATACCTCATACTTAGTACTCATTCATTTTAGAAAACATGATAAAAATGCATATCAAGTGTATTATTTGAATAACAGAAAAAACCTGAATTACTTAGCTAACTTTATATACCTAATTAATTAGAACTCTATAGTAGAGTCAATATGGCTTAAATTATAGCATTATCTGGGCTACTTACAGCAAAGTTATAATAAAGAGATGGGGGAGTTCAGAAGTGCATGAAAAACAAGCAATAAAATCTGTAATCATTAGAACAGAAGCTTCCTTGAGTTTAGCCATCTGTTTACTATTTATATTCAAAGGATATTTAAGAAAAATATACCAGTGGATACATCAAATTAAAAGATGTTAAAATTCTCCAGGTAGCCCCAGGAGTAACAATATTAGGCAGGTATTCACTCCTCTTATTAGGAAAAGAGGACAATGATAAAGGTACATTATTAAGTTCCAGGACAGAGTGCTTTCCGCACACATACGAGAAACAACACACCTTCTCATACAGTTCAAATTCAATTAGGAACATTAGTGCTTTTTCATCTTTCCTATGGACTGAATGAAGTTCAGTAGCAATAAACTTCCTGATTACATTTTCAGGTCAACTATTTTTACAGAACATTATGGTTTATTCTTGAACTCTATCCATCACAGTTTTCTACAGACAGATAATTTGAATGTTAATTCTTACCTGACCAGGTTCTGTCCCAGTAACAGTCAAGTCTTGGATGGATCTACGTCTTGGTTGCCCGTTGCCTTAAAACAAAACAAGAACAAGAAAAAAGTAAAACTGCAGTCTACCCACGCAAGGGATCAGGGTGTAACTGCTGCAGAGGAAGTGCAATCTGCTGCTCCAGGGCTCTACGGAACACGTTTAAAGGAAAAAGAATGAGTAATTTCATTGTAAAAACAAAGCAACCCAAAAACTGAGAAAGAAAGAGACAGAGAGAGAACTGTAGTGTATTAACTCTAAAATTACTGGCCCTCAGCAGAGTATACCCTACTACTGCACAAACAGCAGCTGACTGTCTTCCACCATCTTCTGTCATGTGTTTAAACAGATGAATGCCTGGGGGCTGGGGCCGATGACGGCATCTATTTCAAGGGCCTTACGTTACAGTTTTCACAGTAAGACAGCTAGCAGGTTGTAAGACATGTCTGGCTTTAGCTGGCAGCAGTGCCTCAGAGGATGCTTAGGTTTAAATTATTGACCCGAGTCACATTTAATCCCATTATTCTTTGTCAGAATGCAGTAATTCATCATTAGTAACAGCTCAGTTTCCTCTGGGAGATGAACAATGTTCATTCTATGCTCAAATAAATATATGCAGCTTGTGAAGATGGGCTATTATGAACACCCTACTTTAGAAATATCTATATTAACAACTCAATAAAAAAAAGAATTCTACAAACAAGTCTTCAGCAGAACAGATTGACTTAAACAACAGCTTCATTCAGCACCTTTACTTGGGAGTAGGATTGTTTATACAGTATCTTTTAACATTAGAGATCAGCTGTTAAAAAGGAAACACTGAAATACTACAAGAAACAGCTGGTACAATATTCACAATGCCTCTGACTCCGAAAACACTACCATATAATTCTCCAACTAGCAGGCAGCATTTAAGACACACACTCCAACAGCTTTGTTCTGCTGAGCAGACAAATCATTTGTATTTTTCACTCTCCATGATCTTGGATATAAAAAAATTGTATCTAAAACCAATCAGTATCATTTAGCATTTTAACCCATGTGATCTCATTATTGCTATATGTATACACCAAGTGGACTTTGAATAGAATTAAGAATGTTTAATGAAATAATACAAGTACTGAATATAAAACTCAAATGTATAGTCACTCTTGAAAGTATAGCTCATAATGTTTCCTATTTCAGAATGTTTTAAAATTCTTTGTATACTCTGAATTCAAACTTACTTCAAGTTTCAGTTTATTCTGAAATGTCCCAACTTTTGGTTACAAAGTAAAACAAACTGTACTTATTGAATCAGACACGTTCATAAATACTTTTAACTATTTCTGTTTCCCCCAAAACAAAAAGGGCACTACTTTGACTAGCGAGCGATTTTAGGCCCATTTCATTCAACACGCTCATCCTAAAATTAGCACAGTTGAGACAGACTTATAAAAGTGTCTGGAACTCTTTTTTTCAGGTCAGGAACATTTATGAATCTGAGGAATTACCCAGCGTATGTGTCTGCAAACCATGACATCGCCACCACAATTTCACCAAATATGAGTTCAAGTTTAGCCGAGGGACGGAAAGAAAGGGGGAGAAAAATTTTTATGAAACAGGGTAAAGAAGAGCTGACAGTTAACAAATGCCATAAAATGAGAGTTTCATGCTATAGCATGAGGGAAGCAAGCAGTATTAGGCAATTCATTTTAATGAGCACAACCATGTCAGAAACCACCTGGCAAACAGCTCAAAGCAAAAGAGGATTGCAATCAGCAAATACTTGTTGCTCCAATATTAAGTTTAAAAGCCGTAATTTAGAAATATGAATGTAAAATAACTCAAGCTCCTAGGGCTTCAAATGAAAATCACTGGATGTCTTCTTAGAAAATTTGAATTCTCAATTTTTTTTCGCTGAATACTCATCTAGAAATGTACTCATTTTACACTTAAAATATGTCTTACTTTGTGTGTGTGTGTGTTTGTGTGTGTGTGTGTGTACTCTTGCTACAGCATGTGTGTGGAGGTCGGAAGAGAATTTGTGAGAAACAGGTCTCTCCTTCCTGCTTGTTAGTTCTGGGGATCACACTCATATTGTTAGTTCTGGAAAGGAGTTCCTCACCTGCTGAGCCATCTCACTGGCCCTCATTCTCCATGTTTTAAAGTTATCTGATATGTGCACACCTGCATTACACACATTCCAGCAAACAGAGGCAGAAAGCCCGATGGCAGCAGGATGTTGAGTTTGAATCCAGCATCCTACACATACTGCTGGGGTAAAAAGTCCTGACCTTCTGCCAGGTGTGGTGGTACATGCCTTTAATCCCAGTACTCAGGAGGCAGAGGCAGGGGGATCTCTATGAGTTCAAGGCCAGCCTGGTCTACAAAAGCTAGTTCCAGGATAGGCTCCAAAACCACAGAGAAACCCTGTCTCGAAAAACAAAAAAACAAAAAAAAAAAAAAAAAAAGAGTGGTTTGTCTAAGATCTCACTGCCAGCTCATGCTACACACCCTCCTCCAGGTCCCACACGGAAAGGCAAGGACATCAGAAAGCTGCCATCACAGCTCACTTCTTAAGTGTGTCATAGACACAATCTAACTCCTCAAAAAAGCAGCTCTTTTAGCTACAGTTGAGTTCTTAAGCAAGTGGTTAAGTCCTTCCAGAACAAGTCCAGAGACTACTGCCCGAGGTCTCACACAACCTACCCCTGTGCGTTTTCATATGGTCTAGACCAGTCCACAGCGTTCACTCCTGATGCTGGAAACTTTCAAAGCACATGCAGACTCTTCACTTAGAAGCAAACTATTATCCTGGAGACTTCTTTTGCCCAAATTGTTGAAAAATCTGAGATTTGTAAGTTCTAAATAAAAATTGTTCTCATGCATAAAATACGATTGAAAACATTGAATAACATTTTATATGTAAGTTTTGAATTATTGCTTAGTAGTAAACTGATGGTATAATTTAAAAATGTGTGCTCATTACATTGCCACAATCTCTTACTAATTTCAACAAATTATGGCTCTTTTCTTAGAAGAACACCAGATAGGTTTTTCAAAGTAATTATTAATGACGGATGAGTATTGCTTTGGAATTAGTTTTATTAGATTAGAATTTGAGGTCCACCCCTGTTTTCTTTTTTCTTTAATTATATTTTATTTCTTTTAGATAGAGTTTCACTATGTAGCCCCCTGGCTGGCTTTGAACCAGAGAGATTCACAGGCATCTGACTCCTGACTGCTGGGACTAAAAACAGGTGTCAATGTACCTAAATGCTAGTTTAGTTTTTAGATTATAAAATGTGATCCTGGTAACAAAAAATTTGGTGGAGAGTCACTGAATATTTACTGTAAAGTTAAATAACTTTTCTATTTAACTAGTCACAAATATCAAATTCTATAGGAAGTAAACAGGAATATCTTAACACAGTCCCTAATCAAAGGCTCACAATTGTTAATGAGACTACCTGTAATAGGCAGGGACTTTTCAACTGTAGAAAAGCTCAAATCCTCCTGCCGTATTGTCTTTTCATTTGGGAAATGTGTAATAATTTATATAATTCTAGTTGAAGAATATTTACAAATATTAGTATCTACTAGTTCTTGACTCAAACACAGCATGAGAAAAACTATTCTTATGCTAGTGAGGAAAGCAAAACAATGAACATCTCTCAAGTCTGCCTCTGCCTCCAGGGTGTGATGCTATGCAAAGCCCTCCCACTGGACAGTAGGTTTGTTAATACCCAAGATGAAGCAGGGCCAGAAACTCAGTTAATTCCACCTTTCTCTGCAGCATACTCTTACTATAAAAATATACAGCAAAGCTAATGTCTTATAAAAGTGAAAATGGGTATTTATTTTTGAAAGTTAATAGACCTAAATACGGCTAAACATCTAAAACATGGATCTAAAACATGGAGACTTAAGGCTTGTTTCTAGCTTCAAGAATGATACTATAAAAACAATAACATCAGATAACTCAGGGTCTTCAGGAAATTGTACAAAATATTTTATATACATCAGTTAAGAATGGCTCAAAAATATTATTATGTAAAGAAATACCTAAGATGAAATATCATTTTTGGTGAAGGCATTCTGTCTGTCTTCATACCAGGCCATATTATCACAGACTGAGAAGCCACAAAGATACAGTAAAACCGCATTGTCCATGCCCTCAAATGGTAGTATTTTAAGGTAATGCATATCTAGAGTGGATCAGAGGCTATTTAAGTGCCTTAAAGTGGAATCAAGCATCATAATTAAGACTAATATTCTATTACATTTTCTAGTTTAGCTTGTTTTCTCAAGATATGTACATACTATGACTATCATATCAGTATTTATAAGGTGACTTTGTAAGTCACATTTTGAGTATTTGTTTCATTTTATAGTAGCAATCAAGCTGGTATAAACTATCAGAAAACTTAAAGCAATCCAATAATACCTCACCCATTTCTGCTTCTTGAAACAAAAAAAGCTATTTCAGGTCACTGGAAGCTGGACAGTGGTGATGCATACTTCCCAGCAATCCAAAGACAGAGGCAGGCTAATCTCTGAGTTTGAGGCCAGCCTGGTCTATGGAGCAAGTTCCACAGCAGCCAGAGTTACACAGAGGAACTGTATCAAACCAAACCAAACCAAACCAAACCAAAAAAACAAGTCACTGGCTGAAAGGAGAAAGGATCATGCTTTCAAAACTCAAATGTCAAGGGAAGGCACTTAAGAAAAGCCCATTGCTTCTTCTCAGAGCCATTTATCAGTGCATAATGTAACAAGCAAATGTATTAAGCAGTTATTGGATGAATGTCCTAACCATGGGTGAGAACCTTCTCATCTCTACTGAATCTGCCTAGGAAGAGCTGACAGCACCTGGCACAGATATGTAAGCAGTACAATGTCACCTGTACTCAACTGATGAGCAGCTCTTAATGGTGTCCTGCTTGGTATAAGAACAAGCCTCAGCTACAGCATCCCTTGCATGGGAGGGGACAGTGGGAACTGCAGGGAGCATTACTATGCCAAAGTCTGCCAGCCTACCAGCCCCAGCAATGAGATGAGGTACGAAACTTGTACACTCTCATAATCAATGAGTGAATCCCTTAGTATTATATTAAAAGCTGATTCCTGCATGACCTAAGGACTAGAAACTGATGGTAGCCAAGTAGCTTTCTTTCTTACATGAATGATGCAAATAATATATAATGCTTTTGAAAAGCAAAGATTAGTGAGGGAAATTAGGATTTCTCTCTTTGCCTGGGCCAGTGCCAGGCACTTTCCTACTTCCCCCATGATGGAAGCATGTGTGAGTAATCAAAGCAGGAAGGGGATTCGTCCGAAGAGGATGAGCAGGAGGAAGATGACGAGATGGAGTGAACAGGAACAAAATTCACCATATACATATAGAGAAATGCCAAAGAAAGAAAAGTATGTTCATGTCAAGTCTGCATGAGCTTGAAGGAGCGCTGCTGCTGGAAGAGGGAGCAGTGCATAGCACTCACCCAAAGCAAAGCATTACTGGGACTGTTTATTTGAGATAAGTGAAACAATTATGCAAAAATATTTAGAACTGAGTTCCAGTGCTGGTAAATGGGAGTTTAGACATTTAAGGGTAGGCTTTATTACTAAGTTTAATTTTAAATTGTAAGTTAGAGATACATTAGTGTTTGGCTTTTATGACTATCAGTTTCAGTTCTAGAGCCTATATTCTTTTATTAAAGAAGGAAAAATTGATTAGTGTTTAGATATCTGAAAAGGAAGACCTAACAAGAACATTTAAAACTATTTATTGCTAACTAATACTTTCACTGAAATAGCATTGCTACCCTAGAAAGTAACAGCAGAATTAAGGTGTGCTTATTTCAAAAGGACCCAAAGTCCTAGTCTCCCTAAGTGAAGTGTTCCCCACTACAAAAGCACTAAGGAAGGGTGGCATGTTCCACATTCTGTGACTTCAATGGAAGAGTAAAAAACACAATGTGAACTGAGTCAGAAGAGCTGAGTGGAGTCTGTGGGCTCTGGGAAGAAAGGCTCGGAAGCATATTTTAATCCTGTATCTAGCATACAGGTACACTTTCAATTTAGGTACAAGGGTGCAATGAAAGTCCATTAAGATGACCTCTATCTAGTTTTAAAAAAGTATCTTGCCAGGGCTGGAGAGATGGCTCAGTGGTTAAGAGTACTGGTTGCTCTCCCAGAGGACCTAAGTTCAATTCCCAGCTACTATATCATGGCTCACAACCATCTATAATAGGATCTGATGCTCTTTTCTGTCTGTCATGAGGCCATACATTCAAACAGAGCACTCATATGCATAAATAAATACATTTTAATAAAATACAAAAATAAAATAGCATCTTTCCAGGACTTCCTGGCTTCAGCACTGCTAACTTTTCAGACGAGCTCTTTCAGGCAGGCTGTCTAGAGCTATACAGGTTAAGAGTACCGGACCTCTGGCCATTACACAGTACTAGCTCTTACCCCACTAGGATATTACTATGTTTCTTATTGCTTCCCTGGTGTAGGAGGTTCTTCTGTTTATGTGTTGCTTTCATTGGTTGAATAAAGAGACTGTCTTGGCCTTTTAATAGGGCAGACTTAGGTAGGCAGAGTAGACAGAACTGGATGCTGGGAAGGACAGACGGGCAGACGCCATAATTCTCCTGCCTGAGACAGACGCTGGTTAGAATCTTTCCTGGTAAGCCACAACCTCGTGGTGATATACAGATTATCAGAAATGGGTTAAACTAATATGGGAGAGTTAGCCAATAAGAGGCTAGAAATAATGGGCCAGGCAGTGATTTAATTAATACAATTTTTGTGTATTTCGGGTGTAAGCTAGCCGGGCGGGACAGAACAAGGGGCCTGCTCCCTTCAACACTCCCCCATTATTTTGTCTGCCCTTTAAATTGCTACTTGTGTAAATTTTCTGATTCTGTAATGTATTTAAGGTTAATACAGATCTATATAAATGTAAATGTTGCTATTTTTAGGTAATATATTATATCTATCAGTAGGGAAATGAGATAATCACAAATAGCCGGTATGAAAAGAAGCCATCAATAAATAAAAATTACTATGTGAGAAATGAGTTAACAGTGGTGACAATTTAAAAACTTCACTTTGAATATTAAAGAAAATTAGTACAAATTGCCTTTATTTAGATAAAATGGCCCACAAAACTATAATTTATATTTTGTGTCTTAGTTTCTAGCTATTAGAGATACTCAATGATGTATTCATTTAATAAACCTATTTATTAAACAGTATGTTCAGTGTGGTAAGTACTATGGAGACAGTGACTACTGACAGAATCAACAATAATTAACAAATACATAGTCCTTATCCCTTAGTTTTAAGTTTAGCTAGAAAAAATTAGGTATTCAACTACAGTTTAAACACAGTGAAGTACATTCATGGGCAAAAGTAAAGAATGCCAAAGAACCCATCCAATCACACATGTGAAAAATACCATCTCTATAATAGAGTCAAGAGATGTAGGAAAATTGTTATTTTTTTTTAAACAGGGATAAATGGTATTTTTTTTTTAAAAAAAAATCTGTATTTTATTTATCTTGTCCCCCTGTGTGTATGTGGAGAACAAAGAACTACTTTTGGGAGTCTTTTCGTTTTCCCACCACATGGGTCCTAGGAATTAGGTCATTAGGTTGATCAGGAAGTGCCTTTACCTGCTAAGTCACCTCATTGGCCCAAATAATCATTGTAAGAAATATATTGAAGGTTATTATGCCATTTAAGATTTTATTAAAAAATGGTGGCTTTTATTCATCTATGAAAGGACCACATAAGGTATGAAAACATTTACCAACTGACTCACTGAAGCATCATGTGTGAGTCAGGTGTAAAACACAGTTGGTATTAACACACTAGCAGTGGAACTAAGCAGCTGTCCTGGCAGTTCTGTTTCTACAAGGCATCCTACAAATGGCAGGTCTTGCCTGGTACCCACCCCTGCCCTCCAGGTTACGATGATGCAGTGCAGCAGCTCTCTTCTTCCAGCTGCAGGCCCACCGGCTCCCCAGACACAGGCTGGGCAGGGGAGGAAGAAGACAAGGACAGCACATGTTTCAAGCAGTTGCATCCTTTTTCTGCTAGGTACAAAATAGACCTAGGCACAGCTTACTCTCTCACTTTCGAACGAAGACTACGTAAACATGAGGAGGGATGGTGTTCTCCACTATGTGAAGAGTGTTAATTTCTTTTCACTTGATTCCTATCACTGGAGATGTGAAATTGCGATTGCAGGTTGGTTTCAGTGTGTAACATAAAGTTTTCTACCTGTCTCCCTGGGTACTGTATGCGAGCTATCTTTTCAGATCACATGAAAATTGGAGCAAGAAGCATTTAAAAGTACCAGGATCATTAATCCAGTTCCACAGCTGTTACACCAACACAGGTGGTCTATGATACCTGATATGACGATCTCAGGGACATCCAGAATGTTGCCAAATGAAGCGGTTTTACGGTGGCCCCGTTTAGGCTTGGAATAGGCTGAAAAAACACACATGTACAGTATACATGCAAACAACCACAAACAGTAACACAGGAAATGACTGCAAAACAGAAGAGTTCTGAAATAGTCATGTTAATTACATCTCATGCAGAATGGCATGCACAACTATCTAACTTTTCATCCATGCTTAGGAAGGTGCTGTTAAAGAGCAAAAACCAAACAGTCTAAGACGTTTTACACACTGGCTTTAATTAGCAGGGTCAAGAAAAAAAGCACTCAACAACAAAGACAGACAAAACCGCAGAACATGGAGAAGCTAAATTTCAATGTGTTCTTAGAAATATTCTACCTAAGTAAAATCAATGATATGAGGTGAGGGTAGGGAACAGATGGGTGGGAGGAGGAAGAGTGAAGTTAGTAAGGTAAGCTGCCAGATTTGTGCTGATGACACAAACAGGATCAGATAGCTCTTTAAGTTAGGTGCTTCTTGGAATGTGCTATAAATTAAAATCCCATGATTAAACAATAGTTATCAAATCAAAGCATAAAAATGTATGTTTCCATAAGTATTTCTTTTAAACTGAACACTAATTATAGCTTTCAAAGTCTAGGGTATTTAGTTGTTAAATATGAAGGCTGTTAAAAGCTGGAGTATGAATCTTTAAAGTAAGACAATTCATTAAAAAATTCAAAGGATGTATTGTTCTACATTTAGATAGCGAGGACAAAGTAATTTATTTGTATATGATTATCCTTGAACTGGAAAAAAACGTCACTCCTACAATATGTAATTACAAACCCGTAACTGATTAGAAAAATTAGACTCAACAAAAGCATCAACTATTATCATAACATGGCTTTCCCTTTTAGGTCAGAAATCAATATGATGTGTCTATTCTGAATGACACTTGTGAACTGAAATGGTTCCCCAAAAGTGTTGGGGGTATGGTTCTGTCCAAAGACAATTGTGCATCGTGAAGGCCAGTAGAAGGCGACTGACCTCTGCTCAGCTTGACACTTTCTGAGGATTTACCTGGGGCAGAGACAACCAGTTCCCTGCTAGTCTCTGGTCTCTCCTTTTCGTTAGCAATGGACTCTAACTTTACTAGAGCAGCAATGTCAGATATGGATGCAGATCTCTTCTCCTAGAGGTAAGAACAGGCCACCTGACCGTGTCACTCTGGCTAATGGCGTGCATGTAGAAGTTGTAGAAAAGGTCTTTGAAGCTTGCTTTCTTTGGTTACCACTTCTTTCCTGCCCCCTGAACTGTGGAAGTGATGGGTGAACTGTACCAGCCATTTTAGACCACAAGGTAACCTTGAGGACAGAAGTTAAATAGAGACTGTGACACACAGGGACACAGAAAACCAGCTGCCTAGTGACCACGGGCATATCTAGACTTGTCTATGTGTGATCACAGCTTATGTGTTCAGACACTGTTATTTCCAGATTCTTTCCTAGCTAAAGGCTTTAGTGGGGTTGATAAACTCAGGGACTGTGATTAGTTTAGACAAATACAGTACAGTTCATCTGGATGCCACTTTCTACAAAAGAACACACACAATCAGAATATTTTACATAGAAAACAACTAAGTTTAAAAAATAAAGTCTGTATCTATAATTAAATGATATGCAGATAGACCAAAATATCCTCTGAGAATTTGTAAGTTTTGTTGTTTGTTTACACTTCCACATTCTCCAATACAATGTCCATTTTTATAATCCATTCTTCTCTAACCTTGGAAGAATCAGAAATAACCAAGTAAGACCCAACTAAATTGGCACCACTAAAATAAAATCTGGCAAAAAAAGAAAAAAAAAAAGAAAAAAGAAAAAAATGTGTCAGTTGATCAGGTGACCAAACACCATTCCTTTTCATTCTGACCACTCTGTCTACTGCAATGTTTTAAGGGCTTATAAAATGAAATTTAAACACTAGCAAAATCAATGTCTGATGAAACTACTACTATTTCATTCTACCATCAAACAAACAACTTCTAGCTCGGCTATTCTTGCCACTGGCAGGATAGTGGGATGACAACATAGTCCTGGAGCACAATTTTCTGCAATGGTTTTTTTTTTGTTTGTTTCTTTGGCTTACCACAAACGGTGGTAAATTACTCCGTCACTGCACTGTTCTGGTATTGGTGGAATTTCAATTTCTTAGAGCTAGTTTACGTTTGAGGAGAAATAATTCTATTTGATAAAATCTGTAACTAAAAAGATGTATTTTATAAACCAAAGAAATTTTAAGTCATATTTCTCTTATTTAAAATTTGAGCCAAACATACAAATTTATGCTGGAAGTTTAGAAAACATACTGTAACCCTGCCATCTGTTCACAAAAGTACATAGAAGACAGAAACACCCTGCAGCCCCACTGGAAACAATTGTGAGCATCATGTAAAACCACAGTCATTTTCTCTTTGGACTCGCAGCCCCTTTACCTGGGGTCGCCACGATCCTAGCTTCTATCTCAGACATGTCCGCACTCATCCTCTTGCCCTCGGAGGTTGGGGGCAAGCTCTCCACACTGCTCCCACGAGAGGCTCCCAAGCTCAGCCGTCCAGATTCACTCTGTTAAAATTATAGGTCAATTTCAATTACTACAGTTCTTTTTATGTAGAGATCCAGGACAGGCAAAGAGGAAGATGACTATGGTACTGTTCTGAAAGACGGAATTTTATACTGGGAGGGAGCTAAAAAAAGGAGAGCAAGCTCAGATACATGCCGCTCAGAGTAATCCAACCAGCAATGGCCACAGTACAACCAACCTAAACAGGATGAAGTGACAGAAATATGAGAATTCCTTAACTGGCCCATAGAACAACAAAATGTATTTCACACTGCATAGGACCCTTAGTTAGGGTGGATCACATGGAGGAAGGGGCAGGTGTTGGCAACAGCAACAACCAGCAGAAAGGAGAACAACTTGTTTGATAACAAATGGCAGCAAAATTTCATGTCTCTCACCATAAGCTCATTGGTCTGGTGCAGGAAGAAAGCTTAAGATTGTTACATACGTGACAAACTAGTGACCTATTTAGTGTAATATTATAACTACTAGTAAGGAAACCATGCAATTTTACTTTAATAACAAACCTGTTGCTTTGCCTGATTTTTTAGCAGTTTTGACTCTAAGCGTTTAATAGTATCATTTGTGGCAGGAACTTGCTCCAGATTCGTGTCACTTTTATTACTGGTATTTGTAGAAGCGATGTCCATGAATGAGCCTAGGAAAACAGAAACATTTATAATTTCAGGTTGAGAATGATATGAATGTCTCATTCAATAACTGAGAAGACATAAATAAAAACAGCAAGACTTCCACACCAATTAGACACCCTAAACAACCATTTTGCATGAAGGTTACAGATGGCACAATACAGAATCAGTCAGTTTTCTAAACAGATGAGACTAACGTAAGAGTTTAGCCCTGAAGTACAACTGAGGGTTTAAGTTGAGATGAGCAGACCAGAGGATGAGAGAGTTTGAAGGACATAGCTAGAAGTCAGTTTGGAGAACACTGTTGGAGTCCCTACTAGGACTCTTGTTCTGGATGTATGAGGGTGGAGCTCAGGTATAAGATGAAAACAAATGCTCTTTCTCTTCTGGAGCAACAGGTTACCGTGCAGGTTACCAAGTCCAAGAGTCACACAACAAAAAAGAAATCCCCCAAATGGCACAGGATAGCATCAAGAAACCCAGTCACAAAGATACTAATGTCTTAAGGGGCTGACTCCAAGTTCCTGAGGAACATGCTCTTTCCGAAGAAGCACAAGAAAGGCCTGAAGAAGATGCAGACAAACTACGCAAAGAGCAACGCACCTGCAGAGGCCATTAAGGATCCTGTAAAGCCCAAGGTGGTTAACGCAAGGTGGTTAACCCAAGGTGATTAACCCAAGGTGCCACAGGCCCCAACCACAGACTCAGCCTTCTAGCTTTCATTGTTCATTCCAAGCTCGGGAAGCAGATTTGAAGCTACACGGCTAAGGGTTATTGGCTGTGCCGAAAAATTCCAGTTCCAGCTCAGGCTCCCAGAGGTGCCACAGAGAAGGTTTCTATCAACTACTATGAAGACAGAGGGACTGGTGTAACACACCTACACACTATTTACAGATGGTCAGTGCCCTGTGCTGCTTTTACAAATAAAATGGAGGCATGATCTGCTGGGGGGCGTTGTGAAAGTCCTGGTATTGGAAGAGGTAACCAAGGAGATGGAGATGAATGGCTGAGGGAATAAGCCAATGGCTGAGCCCTTAGTACTCTGGCACTTAAAGCTGACGAAATGAGAAACACAAGAAAAGAAAATCAAGAATAAGTTGGGGATGGTCTCAGAGACATAGTATTTATTTAGCATTCATAAAGTCTTAGATTCTACTAGTTTTGCAAAACAAAATAATACCAAAACAATAACCACCAAAAAAAAAAAAACCAAAACAAAACCCAAAAAAACTCTAAATGACCAGAAATGTAATGTGAAATTCAGATTAGTATTGGGTCCTGCACAACAACTTTAGAGAGTGTAAGGAGAGAATGTAAGTGATGAATGCCAAATATTCATTAGCATCAATTGTGAATATAAAATTCCATTCATTTGCCATAGTTATACAGAGATAACTGGTGACCTGGATTCAAAGTGAGACTTTATTTCAAAAAAGATGAAATTGAGAATCAATGTAAGACTAGCATTCACAGCAACATAATATTCAATCCTTCAGCCCTAACTAAGAAGTAACTCTAGACATGGAAGGTCTTCAGTAGCTCTTTAACCTCAGGACCTTCATGAAGAGCGAGGCACCTGGCAATGACCTGCAGTGAATCCAGAGAAATGAGGATTTCATTCCTTTTCTCAAATGTAGCTTCAAAACTTCACAGGATGGAGGGGAAATGCTAAGGCTGCTGACGCCGTGTGTTTACCTGTGCTGGTGGCTGAGTTGCTCTGCCCTTCATCAGAGTACTGGCAAGGATACTGTAAAGGCTCGTCCGCTCCTGGGAAGTACTGTAGTAAAAGCAAGTCACAATTTAAAATGCCTTTAGTACAGGTAAACCCCAATACATGAACTCAAGAGCACATGTGCATCACTGTCTTAGTTTAAGGTGCACCAGAGGGCCACAGCTCTGCCTTCCCTCCAGCGTGTCTCGACATGGAATGACTTCTGTTTCGGACCAGACAAAGATGTGGCAGTGCTCCTTCTGGAAAGTGAGCTGTGGACAATGTCATGTCCCGACATAAGCACAGAAGACAGGACGGGAAGCTCTCTGGAGGAGCACACAAAATGGAGGGCTAACTGCTCAGAAGTATATGTGACTTGGAACAGGGACATATATTAAAAATTGTTGCAAGGACTGTTAGTCTGACTCTGGCAGTGCGCACCAATGAATCACCTTTAGAGCCAGTATTTAAGCATGAAGAACATACTTTACGGAAGTCCTCTTATGAACTGTGGACATAATACTGAAATTATTTACTGAACAATGCAGTAAGATTTAAGGGGATTTTTTTTTCAAATTAGACAAAACATAGGTGACCAGTTATAATTTGACTTACACATCTTAAAGTTTAGGTGTACAAACTTTAGTCAAAGTTACTTCTTAATTACTTTATTGAAAATAATCTACAAACTTTAGTCAAAGTTACTTCTTAATTATTGAAAATAATCTATTTTCAATGAAAGAAAAAAACACCCTAAAACATTTGAAATAACCCCAAAGTGTTAAGATTTGTAGAGTAGGGAATTTAATTACCTTTTTAAAAGGATTCTTTTAAATTAAAAGATTCCATCAGGCACAGAAAAAAAGTTTAGTTTTTATTGGTGTCTGAAAACATGCAGTCAAAAGCCAAAATAGGAAATATTAAAATTATTCAAATATATATCTCTTAAAATAGATCTCCAGCACACTATATAAATGACTGCATTTTGATGAAAAGCTGATGAAGTTAGTCTAGTTCAGCATGTTATTAATTGATCATATACATGTAGGCACTGAAAAGCTTTAGATGCCCTATACCAGCATCTCTCATACACTCTGGTACCCAGGAACAAAACATTTATCTATAAACATTAGTACAGGACAGCAATCCCAGAAACCTCGCCTACCCATCTTGTCATTACAGAGAGAGCGACGTGTTCCTAAAGTAATGTTTTTTCTTCTGATAATACGAGTAACAAATGCCTATTCTAACTTTAAAGACAAAGGGAAGTATAATGCAAAAACAGTTCCCATTCCCTCATTTTAAAAGCCCATTAAAACTCGGTTTTAGTTATAGTTATGTTATAGTCCCCCAAACCCAAAGCCCCTCAAAAGAAGGATTATACCCGCATCAAGTGAGTCATTATTTTCACAATCTCCTCCATTGAAGGGCGCTGAGAGGGGTCCTTAGACCAACAGCGGGTCATCAGACTCTCAATGGGCTTAGGTAAATTTTTGATCAATGGTGGTCGAGTACCTATAATTAAAAATTAGAGGGATAAAAGAATTACCTACCCAAAGAGCAGTGCAAGATTTTTATAGTTTATTTCCAACAATATCTGAATTAACATTTTTTGTCTTTTAGTTTACTATTTATTGAATCTATACTTATTTTCACAAAGGGCAAACTATATCAAAAGTTTCATTAAAAATTGTAACACATGGTGGTAATAACAGTAAGAACTAAGACTACTTCACCTGGATGTAAGCAGAGACCGGCTTTTGTTTCCCAACTGCTCAAACCCAAATAATCACATAGAAACTATATTAATTACAACACTGTTTGGCCAATGGCTTAGATGTAATCCTAGCTATCTCTTACATCTTAAATTAACCCATTTCTATTATTTTGTATTTTACCCGAGGCTTGTGGTTTGTTACATCTTGCTTCTTGGGCAGCTACATGATGTCTGCCTGATTCCACCTTCTTTCTCCCTGCAGTCACTTTAGTTTTCCCACCTACTTATATTCTTCCCTACTGTATGCCAAAGCAGCTTCTTTATTAACCAATGGTAATAAAACATATTCATGGCATACAGAGGGGAATCCCACATCATATAGATAGGGAATCTCCCCTATCTGTCTAAATAAAAAAGGTTTTAATTTTAACATAGTAAAATTACATATAACAAAACAGGTATCAAGCAAGAATTACAGCTATAATATTTAGTCTATTTGTATCTGGTAAAATTAAAGAAAATATCCTATCACCTATTTTATCTTTGTGGGTCTAAAGTTTCATAACTAATTTATCTTTTATCATAACTAAGGAAAACTACACCTTTAATCAGCACTTGTGAGGCAGGGGATGGCAGAAATCATGGATTCTAGTTCAGCCAGGGCTGCAGGGTAAGACTGTCTCAAAACCTAAACCAAACTGTAAAGCACTCTTTCAACAAACAACAAAAAGGCCAAGTGCATTAATTAAGAAAAACAAGTAGCTGACTTGAGGCAAGATGAATTTTTAGACTATAAAACTTCGAATATATTTGAAAAAAAAATCTTCCATTTATAGAAAACGATCTACCACTCACTGACTTCCTCAACTATGGCGTAACTTAACTTCCTTCTGTCAAGCAGTATTAGACTCCCTGACTACCCTCAACCATGGTGTCACACCCTGACATCCCTTCACCATGCTATTGCACTCCCTGACTGCCTTCCTATGCAATGCTATGCCTACCAACTTTCCTCTGCTATACTGTTTACAGGATGGATTTACTAAGACTGCAATGGCATTACTAAGCTTCTCCACTCAAGAGTGACGTCAGATACAGTATGGTCTTTGTAGGTTAATCAATCAACAAGTTAGTTCTTTTACTCTGTCCCTCATTGACCATCATTTGCTGAAAACTGACAGACTCCTGCATTTTCTACGACACTACAGGACATAATAAAGTGGGAAAGGAAACTGACAAAGTAGCTAAGATTTCTTCGAAGGTTTTGCTTGGCCAGTCTACACGTGCTCTAAAGAGCCAGACAGATGTTTGTTCTTTGCTCACCTGTGAGGTAGGATACAAACGAGCACTCACTGGGGTGATTAGGGCACAGGAGGGACCAGTGATGCTGTAGTTCCTTCACAAGAGTTTCTTTATCAAAGCTAGTGTGAAGGACCTATTAGTGGGGAAGATGTCTACCACATCTGTGACTGGAGGTCAGTGAGACATAACACTGTGCCCATTAAGTCACTGATGAAAAGTGGGAGCACTTGAATCAGAAGGACCTGCCTGTGGCTCCTAGCGCTATCACTTACTGCTTGTGGTGTCAGTACATATAAGTACGGTCGAGAATATACAACTAAAACGTGTGCAGCATTGAATGTTGTGCCCTTCTGAGCTTAAGTAACAATTATTACCAGCAGATATGCTATTTGTTCTTTCTCCTTGATGAGAGATTTGCTTTCCCAGGAGAAAAGGGACCTAGCTTCCCAACTGTCTTAACAATAGGAGATAAATATCATTTATTTATGTTTTCAAAATGCTTTTCTATCCCCGAGAGAGACTAAAAGTACTGGCTAAGTTCTAAGAGTCCTTCCCTAATGCTGAAGTTTCTATTCTCCCCACCAGAACCAGAGACAGAGAAATGGAGAGTGCTAAAGGAAGGTGGTCTGCTAACAAATAACTCTATTTTAAGTCAGATATACATGGTCTCTGGGGAAGAGAATGGGAATAGTTTTCCAGATATGAAATATACAAAACATATTAAAGGAAAAATTCTTTCAACAAACCATTATGAACAGCCCACATGATTCGGAAAGCTGGGCCCCCGATCTCATCAAAGGGTTTCCGGCGTGTTATCACTTCCCAGAGGATAATGCCCCAGCTGAAGACATCACACTTTTCACTGTAATTGCTACCTATGAGAAAAGGTAGGGGGAATCTTGAGACCTCTTTCTTAGGAACCACAGAAACCACTAGTCTCATAAATTCTAAAGACAAGAGATTGTCACACTCAGAGTTGAGCATTTACTTTCTTAAATATTTTCAAACTATAGTCTAATGAATTAAATATAAACAATATACTCAAAATCCACATAAGAAAGTCAGAATTTTCTACTTTTTCAACAGGATGCATTGGCCTTCTTCTCTGCGTAGACTGATCTCCTTCATAGGCATAGTTTGAAACACCTTTATATTTCTTCCTGTAAGTTTTTAACTTCTTTTTCAGAAAAAGGCTTATTTTTATTTTATGTGCATGAATGATGTTTTGCTTGTATGTATGTCTGTGTAGTATGTGTAGAAATGCCCATGGAGGTCAGAAGTCACCAAGCACCCTAAACCTGGAGTTACAGACCTTCGTGAGACTTCTGTGGGTGCTAGGGATTCAACCTGGGTTCTCTGCAAGAATAGCAGGTACTCTTTCCTTCAGAGTCACTGCTCTAACCCGTCAGTTTCTTTTAAGAATGTTCATTTGGAGATGAAAGCCAGCGTCTTTTTCATACAAAGCATTATGTTCTATGACTGAACTATATCCCCAGCTCCTGTGATTTGTTGCCTTAATACTTTTCCTGCTCTGTGACCAACAGCATTCTTTGCTATCAGAGTAAAGTACTGTTTTGATTTAGTGGCTTACTTTTTACTATATACAGCTAAAATTCTTAAGACCCTCTTATGTACTGTTCAGAAGTACACTATATACAGTGTTAAAATGCATCCTGGATGTAAGTGAATCAAGGCAGACAGTCGGCCGCATCTCGCTCTGTGGCTGTACCTTCAAATACTTCAGGAGCCATCCAAGCAGCACTCCCTTTGTTATTGGTCATGTGCGTCTGGATATCACAAGCTGTACCAAAATCGCAGATCTTCAGAACTGTCCCTCCTGCAACCAGCAGCAAGCTATTATAAAAAAATTCAAAAGTCACAAAGTCAGTATTTGATTTTATAGTAAAGAAGAGATAAACATAGAACTGGAAAAGCTAAGTTAAACGAATGCTATCAGTAAACTTCTATAAAATATAAAACTCTAATAGTATAGAGTTTAGAGGACTATCAGAAAAAATTAACGTAGAGAATTCAGGGAGACCATCATATTCAAATTTTGATGTCTCTCTCTACCTTTAGTTCCGTGACATTTCCTGACCAAGTGTCCCTTTGGCTAAGCTAGACACAGGTTGAAAAGTTTCTATAGTGAGGCACTAAGGTGTCCTGGAGTGGAAGTTTAATCATAAACATTTATTCCTGAAAGAACAGCAGCACACAATAAAACAAATAATCTAACTGGAGATAAAGGAAAATAGATCAATACAGAAGGAAACCAATTAGTTTATTTGCTTTTGCAGTATAAGAAGTTGAACCATGGGCTGTGTATGCCAGATAAATGCTCTATCACTGAGTTATGACTATGCAGGGAGGAGACATGAACTCCCTGCATTCAGTCTAAGGACTTGTAGAGACAGGAAATCCCATTAGGTTTGAGGATTTTGTGGAGGTAAGAACTAGTAGTTGGCTGCTCTGGTCTTTCAGCTTTTGCCCCCTAATATCTCTGGGCAATTAGAGCAATTAGAATTCACGCTATAGGGAGAAGCCAGTGTCGCACCATTAAAACTTACTTTGGAGGTTTGAGGTCCCGGTGAATTAGAGCTTTGGGCTGCATGCTGTGCAGATAAGCCACTCCTTGGGAACACTGTAAACACCAACTCATGGCATGGGCAGCAGTGTAATAAGGCAATGGTTCGGCACCATGCAGCACTGCAAGAGAAAGGCACAACAAACTAAAAGGAACTTTATTGCACATAACATGAAACAATATAAATGCAAGCACCATAAGCATCATCAGAACACACAAGTGAATATTCTCTTACAATATTCTAGTCCTGTTTCTAAGCCTTTTCTAGATAAAAAGAACAACAGCATATTTAAGACATTTTGGTGGTTAACTCCCATATAGTTGTTCAAATAAAATTAATAAGCACTACTATACTTTTTAAATTTGAATATCTTTCACACAATCACATAAATGATATGCAATCCTATTCATTATGAGCGAGGACTAGAGAAACAGTGAAATAAGATGGCTTTATCAGATGCTTACAACTGTATTATGTATTGAAGCTAAAAACTAATAGCTCTCTCAAATAAAATTAGATAATAGTATCTACAAAAATTAATAATGAAGAACACACTTAGTGAACATAACTAAATGTTTGTGTAAAATAATGGTAACTTGGGCTGGAGAGATGGCTCAGCGGTTAAAAGCACTGACTGCTCTTCCAGAGGACCCGGGTTCGATTCCCAGCACCCACATGGCAGCTCACAACTGTCTGAAAATGCAGTTCCATGAGATCTGACACCTTCACACCAATGAACATAATAAAGTTAAATAAAAAAAAAAGTTTAAATAAATAAATAAATAAATAAAATAATGGTAACTTAAAAGCAAATGCTGTCAATTTTAGAAAGCTTACAGGGACAGCTCATGAATATATGAGGTTGGGATTTTTAGGACGAGAGCTTTGTTCCACAAAGGTAATACCAGCACCAAAGTTCTCTTCCATGGCAGAGGTGTTGGTTTGAGTGAGAAGAGCCAGCGCAGAACTTTGGCCTCTATATCACGGAACTGTTTGGGAAGGATTAGGAGGAGGCAGCATGCCGATGGAGGCAGGCTTTGAGATCTCAAGACTCAGCCATGCCCAGTGTGCTCTCTGCCTCCTGCTTTCGGATAAAGATGGGAGTTCCCAGTTGCTCCAGAAAACACGCTTGCTGCCACAATGCCACACCCTTTGGAACCCAAGCCCAGTTAAACACTTTCTTTAATAAGTTGTCTTGGTCATGGTTATAATAATAGGAAAGTAACTAAGACATTATAATAATAGAAAGTAACAATTTAAAATGTTCTGTGAAGTGAGTTTTCATCATTTTATGTTTTGAAAAGAACACAAAACAAATCACGATGAAATGATGTATAGCTAGAGTTCTAAAATGAAGGCTCAGAACTAAAAGGATAGAAAAAAATGTCTGGAACATATTTTAAAATCTTTAAAAAGCAACTGTTACTTCAGGCTTTGGACATAATAAAAATATTGTTAACTCAAAAAATGTATATAAATGTTACAGTATCTTTCTTGCCCTAAGTCCTTAGCCCAAACAACAAAATGAACTCTGATGGCAAACTGTGAGATATAGGTAAATTAGTTTTTACTAGAAGCTCTCCAATTGCTTCAATATACTAGCTAAAAGCGGGTATAGCTGATACTCACCATTGTACAAAGAGCCTCCTTCAGCATATTCCATCACAAGACACACCTAAAGGAAACATGCCAGAATTAACTGGAGTGACAACGTTGGGCCCTCCCTGCACATAACTTTGTTCAACTGTATGACTACCCTGAAAATGATTCCTCTAGCCACTACTATGAAAATTACACCAACAGAAGGAACAAATATATGTGATCTAAGAACTTGTCTTCTGGGTGCCTGTTAAGAGTAGAGATACATGTCAAAGTGGATCACAAGACTTTGGGGACCAAAATAGAATCACAAGACCTTCTCCAGTGCCAATAAAGACATGTTCTAGGGCACAGTGTCTAATAAGAAGGTGCAGTTCATAGGGGAGAACAGAGAGAGGTACACACTAGTCCGCGACAGAAGAGGCTTTTATTCACATGGGGTCTAGTATAGGAAGAACCCAGGGCTTGCTTACAGGCTGTGGGAGTCACAGGGCAGAAAAGAGGAAGGGGGGGGGGGGGGCTGAAAAGTTTCCTTTTGTGGTCTCTCACTGGCCACGGTCAGGTTAGCTAAGGACATAAGGCGAGTGGTAACATGAGGAATGTCAGGGGATCTCTCTTGGCCAGCAATTACGGGGTCCATAGTAGGGGAGGAAAGAATTTAGAAACAAAGTACTTTAGTTCTGGGAACTAAATTAGTTTTGAGGACTGTGTTATTTACTCAAGATGAAGGAGCTTTATAAAATGGTGTCGCCAAGGCTAGCAGGTACCTGAGACAACTCCGCCAAAACACTGCTGTGTTAAAAGACTAGAAGCAAATGAAATGCAGGAAGTGTGACATTTTCAGAAATAAAGCTAAGACAGAGCAGATGGAAACAACTTCATATAGTATATAAACTGTTCATACTTGCCACATTGTTTCCTGTAGGCTTACAGATAACAGGAGAGACACTTACTGGATTCAAGCAGGCTCCATACAACTTTACAATATTAGGATGGTTCACACGTGACAACTGCCGGAGCTGTAACAAATTACAGATTCTTAAAAAGTGCTAATTTTTGAGTACTTATTTTACCACGTTGTTCAAATCTTATTGTCATACAGAACATCTGTTTTCAGTAATTCCTGTTTAGCAGGTTGCAAGCATTATGGAAATCCCCAGTGCCTGCCTGGAATCCCTGTCCTACAATTTAAGTGGGAACACAGACATAGTCAAATATATTAAGAGAGAAATCATTAAAGCATGCACAAACTGCTATAATGGGAGTGAAGAACAAGTCAGGATAAACAGAGAGGAAACTAGCTGCTAAAAGTCAGAGCATTATCCCAGATATGGTACTGACCAAGTTACCCACACCAGAAGCTGTGTTACTTTCATTAGAGCTACAGGTGATGGATTTACCTACTCTGTATGTGCACCTAGATTTCTTGACTCTGAAAGCTAGGTGCTATTACTTCCATTTTAAGTCTGACACCTCGAAGTTAAGTTCCAGAGAGAATAAAACAGCTGTTAAAGATTCCATAGTCAGGACTGGAACTTCAGTTTATCTAACACGAAATACACACTCTTTCTGAATAGCGGCCCCCAATTCCTTTTTCTCTCTTAAGAGTTACTGCAGACAGTTGGGGAAAAGGAGTGTTATCACTCAGCTGTACAACATTTGACTAGCATGCCTTAGGCTCTACTTTCAATCCAGAGTAAAACCCAAGTCAAACTCTAGCACAAATGAGGTGAGGGGCCCTTCATGGGAAAGACTGACATTCCAACTTCTGGTTTTAATCTTCCCTGAGCCAGTAATTACACTGAGGCTATAGTCATTTCCCCATCCCACACTGCAAATTTCTACAATGTATCTTTCTCACAAAACAGCGACTTGCTTTTCCTCCCTCCCTGTCCTCTTTGCTCCAGTGGTCTCTTAACCTTTCTATCATATGGCACTAGACAGCTTTCTTTACAGTTGATAGTCGTGAATTTTTGTCCTAATAGAAACTACTATGCATTTATGCACATAAATAGATTCCATCTCGGTAAAACTCAACACTGAACTTCATAAAGCACATTATTCAAGCATTTACTCCTGTTTTCTCTGAACGTTATAAAGTAGGTTAAACAATAAAGGCATACACTCAGAAGGATGTCGAGAATCTAAAATGAGATGATAGGATACACTTTTGGAAGCTGTCAAGCTAGAGACTAGTAACAACTCCCAGCAGACTAGAGCTAAATCATAAAGAAGCAATGAAAACAAGAGAACAACATATTTACTTCACAAAAGTCTTTTATGCAGAAGAAACGCATAAAGGTTTACCAACAGACTTGCTTAGGAGACAGGAATCACACAAAGTAGAATTTAGCTAAGGGATCACTGCCTCCAAAATTCCCCAAAGATAAATAGTATGTTAATCAGCCTGCTGGAGATAAAATTTACAATGCTGGATGTAAACATTTGTTGGCCAGGATTCACAGCCGTTAGGCACACCCCCAAAGAACATGCCTCAAACAGGCAGTTCACGGGGCAGCTCAGGGTTACAACCAATGTTAGTCCTGGGCTGCCATAAAGCCATCAGATCTCTTCTTGAGAAAACATAATTTCTCAGGCAAAGAAGACCTTGATAACAACTATTTGAAAAGAAAAAACACTAGTGTACTTAAAAGAATTCTGGGGCTGTATAAACCTCCCACCTACATAAGTGGCCAGATTTGCAGTCTCCTGTCTTTGTCTAAATAGTTAAAAATATAACCTGGGAGAGATTTAAGGATGACGGCAGGTGTGAAACGTAAAAACCTACTGTGTGTATAAGTTAGTCAAAGCCTTCCATTTGACGCCTGCTCCTTTTTCAGTAAAGAACTTTTCCTCTATTATTCCCGAAGTGGCTGGAATAGTTTCTCGCTAGAAAGGTGTGTTATTCCTACAACATTCTAAGAGAGTCTTCATTTTAGGTAATGGGAAAGAATACCATTTCAAAATTAAAATACAATACCTTGAAACAGATTTAGAGTTCGTGGATGGAAAACATTCCATCCACATATGGTACTATCTTCAGTTCAATCAGATTGCTGAGGTTCATGTACATAGAACAATAAAGATTGAGACACAATGTCTTTTATCACCTTAAGACGAGAGTATCTCTGATACAGAATGACTGGACAGAAAGGACATCAAAGCTTACCTCCACAATGAAAGCCTTCCTCTCAGATTCACTTTCTATCTGTTTAATAGCAACATCTTTTGCTCTCCACTTAGCTTTGCAAACTACTCCAAAGGCTCCTCTTCCGACCACCTTAGTAAAAAAACAAACAAAAATCCAAAAATCAGAAGCAGGCCCAGTTCAGTATGAGACAGGCAATTTTTAAGCCTCATCAAAGGTTTAGAAACCATCACTATCTGAATTTTCTAAGAATGAATTTTTCATGAAACTGAGGATGAAATGCAGTTTTAATCTCAGAAATTAACCTCTTCATTCTCAAGCAAAACCAAAAAATACAAGAAGACATAAAGGAGTTTTGTAATCACGGTAGAAAATTAAAGGCAAGATGAGTGAGTGGAGAGATAAAAAGGAAGGATAAAAAAGGACATTTGACATTTTAAGAAATTAAAACAGCTTTCAAATACCAAATATGGGTAGGGAACAGAGGGAGAAAGACTAAAGATATATATATATATATGATAAAAGCATCACTATGAAGTGCCCACTCAATGTGTTATTGTCTGTACATGAAATATTGTTAGGAAGGAAAAAACAAATATGGTTATATGCAACAACATGGATGAACTTCAATAATATTATGCTAAGTAAAAAAAAAAAACCTTGACCCTTGATACTACATATTTCCAGGTTCATTTATAAAATGCCTATGAGAAAATCTAGAGTGAGGAGCCACGTCTGCCTGGGGATAAGGATGAAAACTGGAATTAATGTAAATGGGGATTGGGCATCCTGCCAAGGTGATGACATGTTTGAAAGTTAACTGTGAGGGCTGACAACTGGGTAAATTTGCAAAAGTCATTAAATCACACTTCACATGGGTGAATTTTATGACAGGTAAATAACTTATTACTTTAAAAATGTTCTGAAAATAAAGATCAACCATATGCCATATTATTGCTAAAACTAATGGCTATTATGTGAGCACATTGCTGTCAAGCTATACTTGGATTTTTTTCAAGTATTTTTAAAAACAAATGAAAACAAAACTAAAAATTAGTTTGCTATCTGTCAGATCCAAACGTTTGGACTGTTACTATGAAGGGCACCAGTTCAGCACCATCATCGCCAATCTCCCCTCTCCTGTGTATCTAAGTGTGGGGAAGGTTCTTGTCTTAGGCAAAAGTCTATCTCCACTCATAATACATTTTTATATAGTTCCTACTAGTATATACAGGGCACTGGGAGACTGCTTTGCCCACATCCCTCCTCACACAGACTCAAGAGGAAGTGCTAATGTTTTCCTCGTGTTACACATAAAACATGGAGCAAACTTACTCTCTCAAGTCTACACTGGAAACAAACAGTAAAACACAGTTAATTGCAAGCATCCCAGTCCAATAGAATGGCAGTGGTTCCAACACCAGAAATCAGTTACGTGGTCCCTTCATTTTAGACAAACTTATATAAAACTCCTCAACAAGAAAGCTGACTGGAGCTAGAATGATCAAATGGTTGTTTTTAAAAATGTGCATTGGATCACTTCACAGAGGAAAAAAGGGAAACTACACTAGGGCCGTAGTTGTAACCTGGGGCACATGGACAATCTAGCCATGGCTCTAATTCGATTCCCTAAGTCACATAAAGCAATCTGAATATTTCTCATAGTCAATGTTCACCATAAGATAGGTGCAGCTTGGTGTATTTTTCATCATTAGCACATCGAATCCTGTTTCATTTTAAGGTAAACAGTCACAGGATTACAACTTACCAACAGCACACAGTAAGAAAGTATTCAGAGGTAGGATCTGAAACCTACAGCATGTATGAGCTATACTCAGCTTAAAGGTAACCAGGCAGCCTCTAGGCAAAGTCCCAAGTAAGCCAGGCTCATTTGGACTTTTTTCATTCCCTTGTCCTGGGCACTGAGAGCCCACTGTCTTGTTCCCCAAGCCTCAACAACAAGAAAACAAGACTGGTGGTTTATACTCACAACCCAGTTACTTTAACAAGACTGGAGAATTAGCTCTAGTGTCAATGTGTCTGCCTACTCACTAACTCTTATGGCTAGGTACCCTGACTGCAAGATACATTAACATCTGAGCTTTTTTCTTGGCAGTAAAGTGGAAATCTTTTATTTTCCTCAGTGATTATCTACGGAGTTCCTAAGTTAAGTTTATCTATAGAGGCCATAGAATCAGGCACTTCCATAAACATTAAGTGCTCAGAGTTGGGTGTGAATTAGTGTAAGGAGCTGAAGTATTCATTTTTCTCATAGAAAATTAGCAGCAAACAGGTCCTACAAGGTTTCAACTTCATGATCATAATAAACTAAGATGATATACACAGATCAGCCTACCTATTGACATTATTAACCATGAATGAATAATTATAAAGCAATTTAATACATTCCAACCATATACCCACAGATGAACCAAAGTGACTAGTATTTACTATTCTAAAGGATGTCAGATCCCAAATGTTACTTGTATTTGTGGATTATATACTTGTCATAATTGTGTTGAGTATGTATGACTGTTTGTGATCCACAAGTGCCACCTAGTGATAAAATGACGACTGTGCTGTCAACTTAAAACCAGGGAACAAAGTGTGAGCAAATGGGTACATAAGAAACTCTCTTAAGCTTTGAGAAATCAATTTTACAAAGCATCCGAAACAGTCACATTCATATCTGAGAACCCATGGCCTCAAGAAATCTCCATCCTCATTTGAGTCATAAATTACCTCTCATGCACAGTTAAGCAACAGTTCCTAAATAATAAAGGTAACGTGTCAAAGTTGTGTGCAGTAACTGAAACAGTTGATAGAAGTAACTTCATGATTTCACAGGAGTGGGTTTACAAGTGAGCCAGCACTTAAAAAATCATTATATTTCATTCTCTCATATGGCATTATTAGGAGTAAAATATTAGACATCAAAATTAAAAAGAAAAAACTATGTAAGAACTGACTTTTTGTGAGATGAAAAGGTGGGAAAAAATCCAAGGCTACAAAATAATAGTACTTAGATTTTTTTTTTTCTAGCACTTAAGAATACCAAAGGCAAGCACTAATAATAGATTCTACAGACTTCCTCACTAACCCCGTTTTCCACAACAGGCTTAGAGATCTGGTAAGAAGCAGTACAAACCTTCCCCATCCACACTCTTCCCTTAGATTACTGGGGCACACAGCCTCACAGAACGTGCTCTATAAACATGGCCAGCTACAAAGGCAGAAGAAGAACAGGGGCAAGGATGACATATACAGGCCCTACCCCAGGCTTCTCTGGTCTCAGTTGAACATGGAAGTGACTCAGAAAGTCTTGCAAAAGGATCAGGGTAAGTAGAATTAAAGTCTGACCACAGGGAAGAGGCTACTGAGGGAGGGCTGAGACCTGAAACGGAATGACAGCTGATCACAAACAATGCAACATGCAGCTGAATTTCTGAGGAAGGATGGCAGTCAAGGGAAGACCGAGTCAGCAAGCAGGAAGAAAGGTCTTTCTTTAGTGGTAAAACTAAATTGCAAACTGCATTTTACTTCTGGAACGTTTCTTGAGTACCTAATATATCAAAAAACAGCTGCTATTTTTTGCTTTTGTTTTTTACAGCAGAAATGGGAAAACTGAACGTTGTTTAGTTAAACTGACAGCATCAAACTGGAAGAAGCCTGTCAGAAGTAGAAAACATGCCACAACTAGCAATCATCTGTTGTTTGAAGTGTCATATTCAACAGGTTAACTGCAGAGAAGGGATTTTTAAAAGAACTCCACCCTTTCATAAACACAGTGATTGGGATAACAGACGTTTGCACATATAAAGGGAAGGAATCTCCCTAGATGGCTGCCTTCAGTCTTCACTGTCCTTGTATGTCACCAATTCCCTACTGAGGAGTTCACAGCTTCTTCCCTTGAGTTAAGTCTGGCAAGAATGGCTTTTATCAGCAGTATAATGGACGCTCTGAAATCTTCAGAACCAGGGCTCAAGAAGCTTTAGCAGCTTCCATTTCCTTCCTCTTAGAACCCAACATCATGAGATAAATGCCCACTTGATACAGAAAGGTCACATGGAGAATGGTTGGGCATTTGCTAAGAGTCCAACTGAGGTCCCAGCAGTCAGGGGTACTACTCTGCCAGGCATGAAAGTTACCTTAGATGATCTGTCCAGGTGACAGTAATATGGACCAAGGTACATGTAAACAAACATGATCATTTTGACACAGCATTTTGACTTCTGGAATGAATTCAAACAATCTGACAGGTATGAAAGACATTTGTTTGTCTATAGTAACCAAAAATTAGAAACTAAAATGTTAATCATTAGAATGCCAATTGAGAATAATTCCATCTTTGTCTCCTTCACCAGCTCTTTTTCCTCTGTCCAACTCTTAGATCCTACTACTTCTCAGGCTGTGTCTTTGTTGCCTATACTGTCCCCCTCCATTTGCTCTAATCTCATGACTATATCCCCAAATCATCTTCCCACCCAGGTGTTTGCCCAAGCTCAGGATATACTGTCAATTGCCTTCACAAAGTGTAGACCCTTGTGGTGGATTAAATGAGAACAGCCTAGAAGATCCTGTATTTGAATGCTTGGTCCTTAGTCCTTAGTTGGTGGAACTGTCTGGGAGAAGGATTAGGAGGTGTGGCCTTGTTGGAGGAGGTGTGTCGTCACAGGGGTTGGCTTTGAGGTTTCCAGAGCCCCAGCCAGGCCCAGTCTCAGTCTCATCTGCCTCAAACTTGTGGCTAGGCTGTAAGTGTTGAGCTCCTGCTCCAGAGCTACACTTGTGGCTAGGCTGTAAGTGTTGAGCTCCTGCTCCAGAGCTACACTTGCCTGCTGTCAAGTTTCCTGCCACGATGGACTTACCCTCTAAAACTAAGCCATCACCCAATAAACTCCTTCTTTTATAAACTGCCATTCTTGTTATATTCTGGCAAAGCACATGGCTGGTTAGCCTTTATCCTAAGAATCTGCTTGAGGTTAAATTGAAGACTGTCTAGTATTGACTCAGCTTTGTAGTTACTAGTGACCTCTCTTAAACAGAGCCACAATGAAAAAGAGCAAACAGGGCAAAAAGAAATACAAAATGCATAGTTTGACTAGAAAAAAAAAAAGAGTACCAGGAAATACAAT